CACCTTCAAACGGGAAGTAGCGGAGTGGCAGCAGGAAGAGTCAGGGTTGTACGAGGTGGTGAGTGGTGATATAGGGTGCTGTGATTGGGGGGTTAGGGGTGCATATGGGGGTGGTAGTGGTGCGGTAACATCGACTCGTGGGTATCAGCACAAAGGGAAGCGTTTGCTATCGGCATGAACAGTAAGTGAGGAGCATGAACACGAAGGATAGATTTCTTATCGACAAGAAGAGCAAGTATGACGGTAGCTTGGGTATCGCATAGTGGTCTTACGACAACGGTTCGTGTGTACGCGCACAACCACCAAGCATCCTTTCCATCTCCACACGCAGCACAGTCCCAGATCAACGCAGATCAGTGTCCATCCAAAGCAGATCGACGTCCCCTTCCTCCGGGTGGGTGGGGGAGGCGGAGGGGAGGTGGTGGAAGTGATCTCTCTTCTTGTGTGCGCGTTGAATGTCGTGACGATCCGATTGCAATGACTTTGAGTGGTACTTTGAGTGGTTGGGTATGTGATAACTCTGAATCTCTGATTGAAGTCGTCTCACGAGACGTATGCAGCGGGTGGGATCCCTAGTTCCGTCTCACGCAGATCAGCATCCCCTTCCCCTGCCCAGCGTAACCGAAAATCACCGAAAATACTGCCTGAGGACGTCGCTAAGGCATGAAGCAGCGACCCCAGCCTTGGCTCCCGATCGGATACCACGGCTCCGCTAACCTAAGGCTCATACAACAAGGCCTCAGGTCGCAAGGCAATCAGGACAAAACAGTCAAGCAAATCTTGGCAACCGTTTTAGTGCACATCATCTGTCTTGGCAAGATACGGGAGTGGAGTGCGCCGGTAGCAAAGTGTGCCAGTGGCGAGTTACTGAGGCACCCAAGGCTACGATGGTACGTGTGTCACATCTCTACGGCAATACAGGGGCGGCAAAGGCAAGTACCGACATATCGATGTGTTCCCTGGGCATTAACGACGTCGTTTTGTCGATGGCAGTGGTTGGATAAAAGCTGAAGGAAGGACGCATGAGTTTACCTTCTCATCCCACACTCACTCTTCTTCCGGCCTTCTTCAGTCCTTCCTTCCTTAATTCCCGCTTTCGATTCTTTTAGCGACTTTGATAGTCTGCTTATTACCACTTTCTTTGAACCTTTTATACACACACGTCTGTGACGTTTAATCTTTACCTTCTTTTTAATCACGATACTACCGTCTTTACCCTTTCAGGACTACTTCATCATCAAAATGTCTATCAAGGCTATTGCTACTATCGCGCTTGCGGCTGGTCTCGCTGGTAAGTTCTCCAAACCAAACACTCAACCATATGGCACAACATACTAATCCACCCTCACAGCCGCAAAGCCCATCAACACCTCTGCCAAACGCCAAGTCGGCTTCAACTCCGTCGTCAACGGCTTCAACGGCAACGACGGCGCCTTCAACTTCATCGACGGCTTCAACAACTTCAACCAGCAACAACAAGTAATCCAGATCCAGCAGGAGAACCTCCAGATCATCGACAACGGGCGCCAACAAGCCGTCGTCCAGCAAGTGGAGCAAGTCCTCATCGTCGACCAGGTCAACAACGGCTTCAACAACGACCTCAACAACCTCTTCCGCAAGAGCAACTTCCAGAACCAGTTCCGCGATGTCGCCACCGTTACCCTTGTTGTGCAGGAGATCCAGATCGCCATCGACGACGGCCGCGGCAACCAAGTCCAGCAAAACATCTTCGCTCAGTCCGCCGTTGTCGCTAACCGCGGCGCCCGCGAGACACAGACTGTCATGGTCTTCGACAGCCGCACGCTGATCGCCCAGGACATCCTCGGCGGCGACGCCTTCGGCAAGCTCGGTGGCTTCGGCGGTATCGCAGGCGCGACTGGCGCGTTGGACGGCGCAATGCCCACCAAGACAGCTGGTATCCAGCTCTTCGGTGCGAAGCCCACTTGGTCGGCTGTTGCCGAGGACCCAGCTGCGACTCTCGGTGCTATCTGGCAGGGTGCTCTCCAGGACCTCCAAGATGCGCAGAACGACGAGGCGGACAACAAGCTCAACGAGCAGATTGCTGCTGAGGAGCTGAAGGCGCTTCTTGAGGGTCAAGACGGCCAGGACGACAACAAGGATGGCGAGGACAACGGCGACGACAAGGCCGCTGAGGAGGAAGCCAAGAAGGCGGAAGAGGAGGCTAAGAAGCAAGAGGAAGAGCAGAAGAAGGCTGAGGAGGAAGCTGCCAAGGCCGACGCTGAGGAGGCTAAGAAGCAGGAAGAAGAGCAGAAGAAGGAAGACGAGGCTGCTAAGCAGGAGGCTGAGCAGGAGAAGAAGGCTGAGGAGGAGGCCGCGAAGAAGGAGGCGGAAGATGCGAAGAAGGCAGAGGAAGAGGCTGCTAAGAAGGATGCCGAGGAGCAGAAGAAGGCGGACGAGGAGGCTAAGGCTCAGGATGAGGCGGACAAGAAGGCTGAGGAGGAGGCGAAGAAAGCTGAAGAGGCCAAGGCTGCTGAGGAAAAGAAGGCAGAGTAAGATACTCTAGAGTGATGGCTCGCGCTCTCTGCAGCAGAGCGACGATGCGCGGAATATGTATACCCTGAGAGGCTTTTGTTAGTTGCTCTCTTACCTACCTAGGTAGTTCAAGTGCTGCGTTTGCAGGACCGGTATCAGCGAGACTGGACCGCGTAAATTGGTTACGAAATTGAATGAATATGTTTTCTTCTTTCAATTCTCGGTCTACTAGTCTAAATGCATTTACGATGACGGGATGAGCTCGTGTTGATGTACTCACCTTCACTAATAGTGAAATATCAATTTCTGCTGATTGTGACGACTTTTATCGGGTTATCTCTCCACACTATGGGCTTCGCATTCTCTCCCGATGTTAAATTATTAGGCATCGAGACCACAAACATGCCATCGCCTCCTGTATTACTGCGCCTCTACTGCAACAAAACCAGGCTACTGATCGGAACCATACTGCTTCTCGTCACCCTACATGTATTATCCGGTTGCTCAATCTTCAACCTAATCCCATCGGGTACATCTGCTACCCCCAATCTCCCCAACGATCTATCCGAATTCCTACCCTGGGTACCTACAAGATCGCAGTCAGACCTTCGTATCTCAAAAGCAACAGTACTATACGACTCCAAGAAACATGATACAGGCACTCTCGCCCTCGATGATCTCCACACCCAAAACTTCGGATACACAAGCCATGTTCTCCAAACGCCCATTGTGCGAGGCGCTCTGAACAAGTTCCTCTACCTCCAGTCACTCATCATCACCGAACTTCAAAAACCAATCGAAGATCAAAAAGAATGGATACTCTACCACGACCCTACCGTCATCCTCGCAAATCAACACATACCACTCCACCACTTCCTCCCACCCATCACGGATGTCGAAACATTCAAGACCCTCTCTATCATTGCTACGAAATCCGAAAGTGAAGAACTAAGTGCCGCGGTCTTCTTCATTCGGGTTAGCGGCGGCTCACTGCGTATCTTGACTGAAGCCATGGAGATGATATACAACTTGCCAGACAACGGAGATGAAAACGAGGAATTTAATGTGGCAGCGACAGTCCTCCAAACCATCTTATCCCGCCCACATCACCTTGCTAAAGCAATCTACCAACCCCGTGAATGGTACAATGGTACCTCGTCTCTCTTTTACCAACCCTACTATCGCACGCTAGCGCATCGTCTCCTCCCCGTGCACTACACCCAAATCATGCCAGGTGGCAAAGAAGGGAGCAGTCTGATGTGCCCTGATGCAGACACAGTACACCGATTTTGGCACGTTGTGCGTGAAGCGCGGCACGTATTGAATGAGGCGAAGGAAAAGGGTCACACGAGTGAGCAGGGAGAGTGGTGGGAGATGGTGAGAGAGGTGAAGGAATGGGTTGAGGGTAGGGCTTGGGATACGGAGGAGCTGGAGAGGAGGGTAAGGGTTTTGAGGGAGGGGTTGGATATCGACTGATCTCTTACAATTGAGCATGAACTTGGTGACAGTAGATCCGCGGTGCGGTGTTTACGTCGTGAGTTATTTTGCGGGTCGTCTTGAGCGGTCTGCTGTTTCGAGACGGAGGCAGTTGGAAGGAATCCGCGGCCGGGATGAATGCTTCTAATCTAAGCACATGGATTCCACCGAGCTTGGGGAAATGACGACGTAGGGCGCAGGCCAAGTCGGACGACTCTCCTCCGGACGGTTCTCCTCTTCCAATCATGTATGATGGTTGAACTGGGCGTCTCGGGTAGCACGGCTCCATGTCGAGTAAGCGAGGCTTGATCTCCGGACTGCATGCTTTCTATCTCTTCATATAGTAACATGTCGCGTGCCCACAAATCGAGATGTAGAGGACTTCTCTATACTCACCGCGCACCATGCCGCCGTCCCCAGAAATAACACCACTGCAAAACATCGCACCACCAAACAACCCCCCAAAAAGGACCACAGCATCCAAGCCCAACCAGCCAGCTCCAAACAACGCAGCAGAGCCCTACTCCGCCTTCCCAAAATCCACCCGCACCTACCTAACCTACATCCTCGGCATAATCCAACTAATCTCCACCCTAACAACAACAATCTACTTCCCGCTCATCCCCACCCTCAGCACCCACTTCTCCGTCTCCATCCAAGCCATCAACTTAACCGTAACCGTGTACGCAATCTGCCAAGCCATATCCCCGGGTATATTCGGTTCACTAGCAGATTCCTATGGCCGCCGACCCGTACTACTCGGTCTCGTTACTACGTACACGCTAGCGAGTCTGGGTCTCGCGTTGAACAAGAACAGTTATCCAATCTTGATTACGCTGCGGGCGTTTCAGAGTATAGGTGGTTCGGCGACGGTGCCGATTGCGTATGGGATTGTGGCTGATGTTGCTGTGGTGTCGGAAAGAGGGGGCATGTTGGGACCGATGTTGTCGACTTGTAATGGGATTTCGGCGTTTGGACCGGTTATTGGTGGGGCGTTGGCGATGAAGTCGACGGGGCATATGGGTGTTTTTATGGCGCTGTTGGGGATTGCGATTTTGTGTCTTCTTCTCGTGGGGTTTGTGCTGCCGGAGACGTCGAGGGGGATTGTGGGGAATGGAGGGAGGCCTGCGACGGGGGTTTGGCGGACTTGGATATCGCTTCTCGGACGGAAGGGTAGCGAGCAGTCGGCGTCTGCTGTTACGGAGCGAAATGCGATGCCCAAGCCTTCCCAGACACTCTCGAGAATCTTCGACTCGATACGCATGATCCGGCATCCGGACGCTGCCGTGATTCTCTGGATGGTCGCTTCGTCCTACGGAATCTACTATACCTTCCAAGTGGCCCATTCCGTCATCTTCAAAGACCTATACAACTACAACGAGCTACAAATCGGACTAAGCTTCCTACCTGCGCTGGCTGGCATGACAATCGGCGGGACGATAGCCGGCAAACTCATGGACATAAACTACGCGCACCACGCGCGTCAAGCCGAGATTGTCGACCCAGCAAATATCCTGGATTTCCCGATCGAACGCGCTCGGTTCAGGAACATGGTTCCATTGATTCTAATCGAGACGGCACTGGTGATAGGCTATGGATGGACGGTGCAACAACACACTCACCCTGCCGTCCCTCTTGTACTGGAATTCTTCGTTTCCGCACTGGCTACGCTGCTGAGTCATACTGCGAATGCGCTGCTCGTGGATGTGTTTCCTGAAGTACCGAGCACGGCGTACGCGTCGGGTCAGCTTGCGCGAGGGGCGTTTAGTGCTGCGTCTGCTGCTATCATTGATCCTCTGGTGCGCGCTGTGGGTCGCGGATGGTATTTTACCATTTTTGCGGCGTTTACCGGGACGGGCTGTTTGACATGTGTGACTTTGAGTCGGTGGGCTGGCATGAGGTGGCGGCGGAAGAGGTATTTGAGAGCGAGCCGCGATTCTGGACAGAGCGCGAGTAATCAGGGAGCTTGAGGTCGGTTTCCGCCTGCCGGCAACTGAGAACATCAAGATCGTCAGCCTGATTCAGATCAGGCTCTGGGGGTGCCCAGGTGTCAGAGGACTCACGGGATCACTCTTTCGACGTGCCTTTGAAACTCGGGTGGCTGGTATCGCGTCTGAGGTTACCTAGGTAGCGTTCGGATATGACGCTAGCCGCTTTCAGCTGATCGTGAGCGCGCCTGCTCTAAGACTTTCGTGCGCGCATCATCACTCCAGAGGAAGGCACACGAATTCATCAGCCAAACTTGCATTTCTTAGCTTTTCAAGGCTACTTGGCCATACTCTGGAAAATCGGTCCCATATTCTCCTGCCAGGTATCCACAATCTTATTCGCTGGACCCGCAGCGATCATCTCATCTCCTTTCTTCCACTTCCCTATCGTCTCCTCCGTAAACTCCTCGACACTCAACGCAGCTTGATTCTTCTCCTTCTTGTTGTCATCCGGATCCTTCCTTTCACGATGCAAATCCGTCGCTACGGTTGGCGGCGCGATTTCGATGACCTTGACCTTGGTATCTTTTAACTGAGCGCGTAGGTTCATTGACCAGAAGTGCAGCCATGCTTTGGTACCGCAGTATACGGGATTGACGAGGGAGAACGGAACAAAGCCGAGGACGGAAGATACGTTGACGACGAGTGCCATTGGCTTGGATTTGAAGTGTGAGAGCAGGTGCAATGTAAGGTGCATGGGCCCACGTTGGTTGATGTCGATCTCTTGATCGGCCTTGCTTCCAAATTCTTCTGGATCCATTTCGTTGACATCGAGCGGTCGCTGTACTCCCGCATTGTTGACGAGGCAGTCCAGATCCGGATGTTCGGAAATCAGCTTCTTGACGAAGGCCGGGATAGACTTGACGTCTCCGGTATCGAGCACGTAGTAAGCTGCTGCTCCGATTTCTTTTGCAGCTTCTTGGAGTTTTGACTCTGTGCGGCCGGCGATGATGACTCTCTTCCCATCTTTTATGAACTGTTGCGCGAGAGCCTTTCCGATGCCGCCGCCTCCGCCGGTCACGAGGGCGGTTTTGAAGTCGTAGTTTGTGGACATGTTGGTGGCCTCTCGAAGATTGATGGGAATTGGGAGTTCAGAGAAGCGACACTTTCCTACTTGACTAGCTAAAGCTATAGGGTCGGTGACGTGCACCTAAGTCGCCGTCGCTGATGTATGTACGTCATGACCCCGTCTCAATAGCAGAATTTGCTCCTACGTAGCTGGCCAGCAACTACGCCTGTGCAACACAATCTTTCTTAACGTAGAACTTTGATCAAAGCAAGCTCGACCGTGCCACCTGGCTGCATAATCCGACCGCTGCCAGAGCCTCTCGTTTACCAAGCATGACCAAGGACCCACACTCCTTGCGCCTTGGACGCACGATGGAAGGAGCGCAGCCGCACCCGGGACGGCTGCATCCACATCCACATCTTCAACTCCTCTTCAACCTCATCCACCTGACAAACGTCTGACAAACCCCAAGACGTTTTTGCGCTTACCTTCAGGCCCACACCGGGATGCGCGAATCACGAACTCAGGACGCCGTTCCATGCGTCATACGGTCCAAATCGGCTTGGCGTGATGTGGGGTAGCCACGCACCAGATCGCGTCGACAACGCCGGGATGTGGGCTGTGCGACACGCCGAACAGCATTGCCGCAGTGTGAGATTGCTAGGGTGGGCGGGACGGAGCGTTTGTAAGGCCGTCTTATATTAGATGGAAGCCACGTTCGTGCTGTGTATAGCCAATCTTGCGTCGAAAGCAACCTTTGAGCTAGGTATATACACGCGAACAATCACCTCTTAGCGACAACGGCAAAGAGACTACAAGATGACGGTTCCAGAGACCCCAGAGTCGAAGTGCGATGTGTTAGTCTGTCGGTATCAAACAATGCGAACATGTAGCTAATGAGTTCCAAAGTCTTATTGTTGGTGCTGGTCCAGCAGGGTAACGATCACCACAACAATGGGCATTGTTCAAAACTGACCGAGTCTTAGGTTGATGCTCTCGGCCTGGATGGCAAGATGCGGTATCAATGCTCGCGTTGTCGATAAGCGTGGCACAAAGATCTACTCGGGACAGGCAGATGGTTTACAGCTCCGCAGCCTGGAAATCTTTGACAGCTTTGGTTTCGCGGATAGAGCCTGGAAGGAAGCAAATCACTTGATAGAGGTATGCACATCAACCGATTTCGGCTTGAGTAAACCTTACTAACCAATAATCAGTTTTGCATGTGGGTATGTTATCACACTCGATAAACCCACCACCATCCCTAACATTCGCAGAACCCCGGCGAAGATGGTGTGATACGCCGTTCAGACGGAGTTCCAGATACACCACCCGGTCTCTCTCGGTTCAAGGAGATCGTTCTCCACCAGGGACGGATTGAGAGGTTCTTCCTCGATCACATCAAGAAACACTCCAAGGATACGTTACGCGTCGAACGCGCGGTATTACCGGAGTCACTGCACATTGCCGAGGATCGAGTTGATGATCATTCGCCCGACAACTACCCTGTTACAGTCCAACTCCGATATCTCACGGAAGACGAGGCCAAACCAGCGCAAAGCAAAGGATCTGAAGTCAACGATGGCCTTTTCAGGAGCAATCTCGCAGAAGACGACACTGAAGACCTCATTGCCAACAGCCAGCAGAAGCAAGGCAGTACTGAGACTGTCAAGGCAAAGTACGTCGTAGGCTGCGACGGCGCTCACAGCTGGACGCGAAAGCAACTAGGATTTGAGCTTGAAGGCGAGCCCACCGATCACATCTGGGGCGTCTTGGACATCATCCCCATCACAGACTTTCCGGATGTTCGCAAACGCTGCGCTATCCACAGCGAGTCCTCGGGCTCCATGATGATCATTCCGCGTGAGAACAAAATCGCCCGCCTCTACATCCAGCTCACAGAGATCAAGCCCGACGCCAGTGGCCGAGCCGACAGGTCTAAGATCACCCCGGAAACCATTATCACAGCGGCACAAAAGATCATGGCGCCGTACAAGCTAACGTACGAATACTGTGATTGGTGGACGGCATATCAGATCGGCCAGCGAGTCGGCAAGAACTTCGATCACAAGAGCCGTGTTTTCCTGGCTGGTGATGCTGTGCATACGCACTCACCTAAAGCAGGCCAGGGTATGAATGTCTCGATGCAGGATGGGTACAACCTGGGCTGGAAGCTGGGATTGGTGGTGAAGGGCATCGCTCATCCCTCCATCCTGAAGACCTACCAGTCCGAGCGCCGTCGTATCGCGCAGGACCTCATCGCATTCGACCACAAATTCTCGCGGCTCTTTTCCGGTCGACCAGCCAAGGACGTCATGGACGAAGAAGGCGTCAGCATGGACGAGTTCAAGAACGCTTTCCTCAAGGGTACGTCACGTCAAACCCAGTGCCATCTACTAAGCCCATCAACTAACCCATCCTAGGCCAACTCTTCGCAACCGGCCTCTCAGTCGACTACGGCACCAGCATGCTAATCGGCAAACCGGGCTCCGCCACCGACCAAGGCGACGGCACAGACGTCTCCTCCTCGTCCCCCGTCATCGGCAAGCAAGAGCTCTCTTCCGAGATCAAACTCGGCATGCGCTTCCCCAGCCACCAAGTCATCAACCAAGCCGACGGCCGCGCGTGGGAGTTCCAGCAGAAGCTCAAAAGCGACGGTCGCTTCCGCATCATCGTCTTCGCTGGCAACGTGACCAACGCACAGCAGAGCACCCGTTTGAAGACCTTCTGCCAGGCCCTCGAGTCGTCATCGGTACTGGCTCCGCATCTCGGTAAGAATATCGAGGTGCTCACTTTACACTCGGCCAAGTGGAAGGAGGTGGAGCTATTACGCGATCTCCCGGATATCCTACATCCGTTCGATGCGAAGACGGGCTGGGATTACGACTCTGTGTATGCGGATGATGCGAATCCGTTTGAGGGCTTTGGTGATGCGTATAAGGGGTATGGTGTTGATAGGGAGAGGGGGTGTGTGGTTGTCGCGAGGCCGGATCAGTATGTTGGGTTTATTGATGAGGTTGATGGGGAGGGGTGTAAGGGCGTTGAGGGGTATTTTAAGGGCATCTTTGCGTTGTAGCCGGATAGTCGGGCGATGCGCAATCGCGAAAGAAATTACCTTGCACGTGCATGCCCCAAGATATCATGAGGTATGAGGTGTTCGTATGCTTGAATGGTTCATTTTGACTTTCTCTTATTGGAATTCGCTCTCTTCGAAAGCTGGCCTTCTAGCGCAGCTATCTACTTGATGATAGCACCAATGAATCTGAACCAAGATCGCACACAGACATGAAAGACCCGCATTTAACTTCAGTACTGAATGTTGATCATGAATGAAAAACCGCCTCGCAAGAACTTTTGATGTCTGCATGTATCAAGTGATGAACCCTTTTCTTCCTTAAGCAAAACCATAGTTCTAGAGTTATAGTCGATTGTAAGATGCAGTTGTTGGTTGGATTGCTGGAGCAGATTTCAGTCTCTCAATGCTGGCGATCTGAATGTCGGTTAACATTCCTTGCAAGAGTGAGAAGCAGTGACGTACCTTCTTCTGCTTATTTGTAGGCGGGGTGTGTCTTCTTGTAGCAAGGCTTGTTGAGAGCAATATGCGCATGGTACTTGCAACCGACATCTTTGAAGAAGTCCTCATACTCTTTTTGCGCTACTTGATCATACCTCATCTTCGGACCAATGTGTTTGAGGATATCCATCAAGTACTCGGAAGGATACTCATCCTCTTCTATTTCCTCGAATCTGTTGTCGGTCCAGAGGTGAGCTGCGATATCAACGACGAACTGGCGATGCGCTGGAACCTGATCATCGATCCCGTATACTGTTTCAGGTACGTGTGTCATGATATAATCTTCTTCGGATATCATCTTCTCTTGAAGCCAGTCGATGCAGGCGTCCTGGAAGCCACAGTCCTGTATGACATGACCAAGTTTGTAGCACTCATCCCACTTCCAACACTCGTCGTCATTAAGCATCTCACCGAACTTACCCTCCGTGACGTCGTTTTCCTCCATGATGTAGAAGTAGCCGGTTTCAAGCCATCCCAGATAGATTTCGAAAGCTCGGGGTTTAACGTCTGGCAGATAAACATCTTCTGGACCGCCGTTCTTGGGCGACGTTCCCAAGGTCTTCTTGAAGAAGTCGGAGCTGGTGAGAAGAGTGCCCTTATCAACGATAAATGGCTCCTCATAGTGTCCGACAATGACTGTGATCATCTTGTGTAGGCGGCTATGGCTGGTCAGTCAAGTATTTCGATGTCAAACTAGCTCATACTCACCTGGGTTTATCGGCCATGGAGCGCCTCAACTTTTTCGGACCAGGGAGCTTTTCTGACTGGTCGCTGCCTCGCTTTTGGGGGTTCGTGTTACTTGTCATGGTGAATGTTGACGACGAACGATTCAGCGTCGGGAGTGAGTTGGTGGTGGAAGTTAGTGTCTAAAGGTAGAGGGAGCGTCTTATATGGTGGTAGACTAGCTCCGAACCAACAGGTAAAGGCAGCGAAGATGCGATTAGGTAAAGGTGTTCGCCATCGCAAATTCGTCTTGAGGTATAGAGTGAGCGTGTATCACCGTGGTATGGATGTGTAGATGTCAGCATGAGATACAAAGAGATAGTAGAGCTGTATTGAACTATCCTAATCGTACTGGCTGACAGCTACATGGGTGTAAAAGCCGGTGCATGACAGGCCTTGACTCCATTGTATGCAGTAAGAGGCATTAGCGCCTGGACTTCTGATGTCATTATCTCACTACCAAAACCATTTGTCTCCTACTAGACGTCGAGGAATCGAGGATTGAGTCGTGTGATGCAAGATACGCAGGTACTGTTAAAACGTGTCAGCATATCGCACATGAAGTAAGTTGGGCTACCTACGTATACAGGGAAAACAAGCTTCGTACATTTGACTCATTATCCTTACCTGGGCTTGCAAGCAACAAAAGCTTTCAGTACCGAAACCTGGGCTTGGTCTTGTAGCAAGGATTGTCTCCGTGATCGTGGTAATGGCAGCTGTCCATATCCTTGAACCAGTCCACTGCAGATGACCATTCGAGGCCCTCGCGAAGGTTTGGCATGATTTCGCGCAGGATATCGCGCATGAAATCGGGTGGGAAAGACTTCATATTTGCCACTGGAACTCGCCGGCCGATATTGACAAAGGCGTCAACCCCAAGTTTTCGGTGGGCTGAGGACTCCGCTGTAAGAGGATAGACGCAGCGGGCAAATTTCATGGGAACCTTGCATGAAGCACACATCCAGTCGATCATAGCGTCGATCAAAGCGTCTCGGAAGTCACTGTCATCGAGATAAACGCCGAGATCATAGAGGCCTTCCCATGCCCAAAGCTCTGGATAGTGCTTCCGCTCGTTGTCCATTAGGTTTTCAGCCCCTCCAACGAAGACTCGTCCAGTATAGAGAAACTTGACCCATGTCCTAAAAAGGTCTGGTTCGTGAACAGGTAGGACGACTGCAGCCTCCTGTCCCTCTTTCCACTCCTTCTTGAGCGCGTTGTCGAAGAACCGTGAGTTTGCGCGGAGCAGTGATTCGTGGACGTAGAACTCCTGTTTGGTTTCGCCAACGCGCACGACAATCGGTTTCGATTCGACACTGTGATCTTTAGCGTATATCTCATGAAACAGACGCGGTTGCTTACCTAGGTCCCTCGTCTGCCGAGCAGCGCGCTTTCTTGCGAGGAGGCTCCAGCTCAGAGTCGGTGGCCATAGTGTTATTGACTGACGTGGGTGTTGTGAGTTGAGTGGAGAAGCAAGCGTGTCTGTGGTCGCCATTCCAAATTTGCGTGGCTAAACAGCGTGAACTCGCTAAGCACGGGCAGATAAGAAGTGAAAGGGGGTCTGTAGTCGAGCAGTGAGCGCCGCATCAGAGTGTACCCCGAGGGATACATTGCAGCATATTCAGCAGAGTGTACACACCACGAGACCATGTATACCTCAAAGAGCCTGTTGGTTTGACATATAACCCAGAGATCGCAAGCTCAAAAGCAGAACTCAGCCATTCCGCTATAGCATCCTCCCCTAGCATGATCATAATTAGGTATATAAACCCCACTCCCACAAACTATCTCCATCCTCATCCTTCCGCCTTTCAAAGCCCTTCTAATACTCCTCAGCATATACCTGACAAACTAACCCGGATTTTCTAACCCCGCTTCACCTCTCTCTACCTATTCGACACTTCAACGAACACATCCACGGCCAGCACACTACCGGTGTGCTTCGACTCCCGGTGTGAAACATAGTAGAATTCTTCAGCGAGATGGAGTGTGTATATTTTGCGGGAAAGACAAGCTTCCGTTAGGACGTCTATAATGGTGTCGGCGAAGAAGGGGGGGTGGGGGAGGGCTAGGACGGAAAAGAAGGCGTAGAGACCTCGGGATGTGACCAGCGTGTCTATTCGATTCGATACTGCCGCTATCCAAATGCGTGATATCTGTTGATGCAGTAATGAAGATCCAACCCATGTACAGTCATTTGTTCCAGTTGACGAAGATTTCCACCCATGTTTCTAGAAGTATGACATTGGTGAAGTCCTCCAGATTTCCAGGGTGGCGGAGGGGAAGGACAGTCCGACTAGGTAGGTTGACGGTATTTTTGATTGGTTGATGTTATGCTGTTGAAGTATGCTAGTTAGAAAGGCAGTCGGTGATAAAGGGCCCCATCTAGTCCTTCGTCGGTGAAGTAACATCAATCTAAGCAAGGTAGATCTCGAGACGACAGAACTACAGTTCCACAGTTCACCCCTTATCATCCATGACTTGTGGCTGTAAAAAGCCATTTGGCCCCCAAACGCTTACTGTGGCTGTACGACGCCCGCCGCAGTAGTGTCAAAGTATAAGGACCCGAGAACGTCGCGCCCCCAGAATCAGCGGAATCGCCTCCTTCAACCTCGTTCTCGACATTTACGCCTTCCTTCTCTTCGCGACCTGTTCAGGATGGCATCGCTTCCATATTCTGATTTGGAGGTCGCTTCCAGTACCGATCCGGAAGTCGCTGGTAGTACTGACCAAGATACGCACAAATACGCGCACTACTCGGTGGCCCCTGCAGACACGGATAAGATCGCATATGGTAGCATCACGCCTGCGCACGACGAGTTGGCACCGCAAACGATATGTGGGCTGCGGAAGAAAACATTTTGGATCGTAGTAGTCGCCGGCGTTATCATCATCGCCAGTGCTGTGGGCGGTGGAGTCGGGGGATCGCTTGCAACACGCAAATCCAGCTCGACCAGCCCGACCAGCAGTACACAAATACCTGCAAGCAGCATACATCCTACCTCAACAACACCATCCCCCACATCCTCAACCCAAACCATCAGCACAACCACCATCCTCGGCCCAACATCCAGCCCGCAACCCACACTCCTCCGCGACTGCCCGTCCTCCAACAACACACTCCGCACCGTGACCTACGGCAGCGCATCTTACCACTTCCGCAAACTCTGCAATGCAAGTTACCTGAACACCGGCGGCGTCGCGGCTCCCGTGCAGGGCGTCGTAAAAAGCCTCGACGAATGCATCGACATATGCGCGCAGTATAACCAGAACAACCGGACCGATATACAAGCAGGCCGAGACCCTCTTTGCAATGCGGTATGTTGGCGCAATACTTTCGATGTGAGTAATGACTGGGAAGGGGGCCATTGTTTTGGGTTTACGACTAGGAATGTTACGATAGATGGGCAGTCGGTTTTTAATGTGCATAGTGAGGAGATCTGTGATAGTGCTGCGTTGATTAATCAGGAGATCTAGAAGTGCATTGCATGTTGCAAAGGGAGGCTGTTTGAGGAAACCAAAGAGTAGATTTACCAGCTAGACAACCAAGAAAGATAAACCGGGTATACGCGCCGACATTACATACATCGCTTGTTCATGAACGCCGTTTGTTGCGCCGCTTGTAATGACCGCTTCGCGTGTCGGGGGAGAGGAACCAAAAGGGAAGACCGTGTAACCAGACCAGAACCAAGGTATATACAAGAAGCGAAGAAGCGAGAAGGTTCCGGGAGGACAAGGAGACTGACCGTAGGTGTGATACCATCTCCCTAGATCCCACCCATATCCACCTCTTTGCTCAAGAAATCCGCCTCTTCAAAATCACTCCCACTACCCGCACCCACCCTCCCCTCCATATGCGCCGCGTTCTCAAAATCCATATCGATATCATCATCGCTAATCGTCCGTTGCGCTGTTCGTCTGGACTTGGGCAGCGCGACGCGACGCGGTGGCGGTTGCATATTGAGTCCCTGAGGCGGCGTTTCGCTCAGCGGGCTGACAGGCACTTCGTCGACTTCGACGCCCATGCCCATGCCCCTCGTCGATGATGATGAGCCGAAGAAGAAGGTTGTGTCTAATGTCCTGACTTCATCTTCGTCCTGCCATGAGCGTTTCGAGGGGTTGTGTGGGCGCTGCGAGGTCGTTGAATATCCGCTATCTGTGGAGGCTTTGGACGAGAAGGGCTGGGTGAAGGTTTCGGCGGGGAGGGGGAAGTAGTTTGGAGGTGGTGGCGTGCCGTTCGCGGCGTAGAGATGTGGGTTTGTTGTTGGTTGTTCTGCGAAGCCGCCGATTTTGTTCAGGCCGCAGAAAGGCAGGAGTTCGCGCTGGTGCAGCACTTCTTCTGATACAGGCTCTCGGGGTGGTTTGACGGCTAGGGTGGGTCGCGACATGGTGGTTTGGATGGAGGGAAGACCGGATGTCTTGTGGATCTTGTAGCCTTCCGGCACGCTCTTTCGCACTCTCATGCCGACGCTGAGGAGGTCTGCTTGGACTTGGCCGGGGACGTCGGGGGCGAGTTTCTCTCTGTGCTGGTGCTGGTGTTGCCTCGTGTTTTGGTGTCGCGGTCGGGTAATCGGATCTAGGCCCCGCAGATCGTCGGTATCCTCGAAATCGTCCCGCACCTCGAAATAGCTTGTGATGCTGGGTTGGAACTTTCTCTTGCTGCGGTGTTCGTCGGTCGGCGTATGGCGAGCTTGCATAGCGGAGTGCAATTCTGTGGATGTGTGTGTGAAGGGGGAAGGAGCGGTCGGAAGGCGCGGTCAGGCAGGATTATGCGGTGTCGCTGAGGTGGAGAGGGGATCTTTCTGATGCCGCTTCGATGCACGCTCGAGCCCTTGGGGGCTGAAGATGGACAGGGTTCCGGGATGACAGGACGGGTGATCAATTTAGCTGCTTAACGAGGAACGGCGGGTAGATTTCGCTTTCCGAGTCACGCTCCGGTCGGAGTGCAAGAGGGAGAGAAAGAAGCAAATGCGACAACCCAAGTTCGCTCGAGGGCCTGGCCGGATGACGGCAGTTGATGTAAGTGTGAGGAGTCGCGCGCTGATCAGCGGTCGTGACGCGACTGGACGGCCGAACTGGAACCGCGAACCAAACGATGATCGTTGACCGGCTTATTCACGCCTTCCCCACTGCGGTTCGCTCCCTATCTAACCTGTCAATTGTCGGAGATGCGAGGTCGTCTCAACGCTGCCCTGAAACCGCTACGTGCAATGTCTCATGAACAATGTCTGGCTGGTACAAAGACAATTGCTTGTCGCGCGCGCTGCCGTTGCTCTGCGCGACAACTCCTCCGAGGCTGCTTGCTGGCCCGTCCAACTTTCCAGACAATCCATGTCCAGCAAACGCACGCTTTCCACCCAGAAACACAAAAGCGCCATGCAGCGGTTCAGCATGATTGCCTGTTCCCGCTCACGCACGCTTACGCATCCTGTGCTCAACTCCAGGGTGATCGTCCATTGGACTTGTCGATCTGATCTGGGCCCAGTCCCCCGCAATATCGCTGCACAATGCTTCATTCCAATGCGAAGTGTAAAGAAGATGCGATTGAACGCAAAAGAGGCCTTCATTTGCCTAATAGTACATTGAAAGGAAGACCCTTGTTCAAAGTCACAACCAACGACCTATGACGCCAATACACCGGTACGCCTTCCCCCTTTGGACACGCTTGCTGACAGAGGTCCATAACCCAAATGCATCAAATCTCTCGACTTAATACGCGCCTCCAAGCGCGTACGTGTCTCGTTATCATCTCTTCTCGAATTAACATCGCCTTTAGGGTGTGCCTAGTTGTTCACGGGAATGTTGCCCATCTCAACTTCCTTCCTCTGCTGCCGAGCTGCCCACTTGTCTGCCATCCAGGTAATCATTGTGACAGCCATGCTTGCGCCCACAAGCAGAAACACGATAAGGGTTCCGTATAGCGCAAACTTGCTTGCCCCACAAAGGGTCTTGAAGTCGCTGTTGCCCATGCCAGCAGGCATGGCAATGTCAGCAGGCAGATCCTGATCAAGCGGTTGAGAGCTCTGCATCTTGCAGGTCCAGGTCTGGATGGTATCGACTTCCGGCGCGTTGTTGTTGAGCATGTGGGCCCAGATAGTGGTGATCAGAGTGAGGAGAAGAGTAGGAAGGAGGGTAGCGAGGGACAGAAGAGCACGCAGGGTGTATTTCTGACGAAGCGCGAGCTGATGTTTCTTAGAACGAGGTTCTTTTGCATGAGATGTTTGGGCGGCTGCTTACCTGAGGAAGGAACGATGCAATCAAGAACGCACCACAGAGAACCAAAGTCACGACAGACGACGCAATGAGCGCCTTGGTTCCCTGGACGTCGAAGTGCTGAGGCCACATCGGTGCCCACCAAGGGTTTGTGAGATGTTGCCTGTTGAAGACATCGAGGGTGTGTGCCGAAGTGCCAAGAATACATATGCTGAAGACGACAACAAGGCCGGTGATGATGGCCTGAGCCAAGTGGAAAGGAGCGGGGTTGATCTTCATCGTGATGATAGTCGTTGGTCTCGAATTTGCTTTTTATATCTCAAAAACGTGGAGCGTAGGATGGTATAAAGATCGGATCGATTACTAGGCGTCAACCAGTGCGCTCCTTTCTTTCTCGGAATGAAGGACGAATGAACGAGAGAACGAAATAACAAGCAAGCAACAGAAAGCGGCCTGATATAAGCTAAGGCTCCGAGTCGATCGTCTTTGCCTGGGATGGGGATAGAAAACAACTCTGGGGGTGGCACATGCCTTTAAAACGATCTCGGTCGCAATGGGGGTTTCACACCTACAGAACACATCGTGCAACCCCCTGCAGCGCCATCTGGCGTTCGCGTACAGGAATAGACGAACAAGAGCAAAGAAAGAACGGCAATCTGTCTTGCCGCTGCGACCATCAGTCGGACCTGGACTAGCAGCGCCAGTGTGCTGGGCTGGTGGTGGGAGTATTGTTGTTCGCAGCGCGTAAGCTGCACACCAGGCCTAGAATAGCGATATTAGCCTGCATGGGGTCTTGCCGCATTACCGCATGTGTGCATTTAGCAGCACATGCCGTTCCCTGTGGTTCAATGAGCATGCCGATCGTACCGTGCGTCAAAGCCTGTGGCTTGTCTGCGGTTCCGTTGGTAGCGAGGTAGGGCAGAGTCAGGGCATGAGCGGTTGTAGTGCGCTGTCAGCCGTCGAATGAGGATACAGAAGGATGCGAATGCAGGGTCGCCAGAGTGTGAAACGCGAATGGAGCGTGGGCGCTTCCACAGTTGAGGTGCAGATGCTAATTCGTGAGATGTATGGGCGCTTACAGCCTGGGGTGCTTCTGCGCGATGATTGGCTATGAGCGCTTGACGCGAGGTGTGAGACTTTGGAAGCAACGACCAACGAAAATAGCAGATCCTCCTGATAGTAAGCTCAGTCGATTTTCTTAGATAGGCTGATGGAAGTTCATGAATCGTCCAAACTGCTCTGCACGTGGGATATCGTTGGAAAGGTGAATGCTGTGTTGTGCATTCTGCCATCCTTAGTACAAGAGTTCTTCCAATATATGGCATAGTATATTAATCGGCCATTCGAAACATCTACACACGCTCGCTGACTGCGATGGTAATACCCAAGCTACCAAATCGTCGGAGCGCCTCGAAACGCCATGAGCGGAGAATCGGCTCGGAAGCGCTATCAAAGTTGACCTGTGAGGCCTCCAAAGCCCCACTTCCGTCGCCCTGAGCTTTGCGACTCTTTCGCCTTGCCCTTCTTCGCGGCCTCTAGAGAATGCGTCTTCTCCCAATCTTCATCGGCCTTGTACGCAGTGATCGCCTGTTCGAGGTTGTAGCTGGCTTGTTCGAGATAAAGGAGTGCAACGTCGTATCTAGTGAAGATGTCAGTTCTCCCATGTACACAATATGGTGGAAGGTGATGCCCTTACTCTGCAACCTTGCATTTGACCATGAACTTCCGTAGCTTTGTCTTTTTGATCTCTTCCTCCTCGCCCTCTAGTGGCCTCGGGCTTAGACTAACCCCGCCTTTGTAGAACTCTCCCGGAATGAGTACTGTCCTACGCGCCGCTAGCAGATGATCCGCATATAGGTTATTCGTTCGGCGTAAGGCGTCGGCGGGTACACCATATCGGAGCGATAGCGATAAGATCGAGTCGTTGTTTTGGTCGACAAAGTGCAGAACATCAGGCGCGTCTTCGGCGTCTGTCCTCGACTTCTCAGATGGTGGTTGCAGCGCGTTGCCTGCGGAGTATGGTGGCAGTTCGTCGTCGACTTGCTCGCCCGGTGGCGAATACGTAGGAGGGTCGCGGAGACCCTGTGGTGGTAGTGCTGATGGCCCGGTCGCTATCTGGCAATATGGGCAGTAGTTTTGAAATCTAGGGTTATCCGTCAAGCATCTGGCGCATATGGCACGCCCGCAGCAGTCGAGTCTGCGCTCGAACTGCGACGGCTTCTCGGTCTTCTCATCGTACGTTGGGGGAATAGAGGATAGGAGCGCAGCGCAGGTACAGCATGCTTCAGACATGATGAAACAGAAGGGTGGACTAGAGTGTATGAGGGAACTTCCGTATGTCTACACATGAGGTTCGTAAGGGATAATGGGAGGCAAAGTGACTGCCGCTACGTCATGACTAAGACAGTTGGCGATCGCGAGGACACGTGAAGGCGCGATAACATGGCAAATATGTGAAGTTCAAGCCATAAGCACTGCGATATGTTGTCCCGTGCTCGGTAGACATAACCTCTCTCTGTATCGTGAATGCGACGTGTGGCAGGACAACCAGGTGTTGGAGTTTGGTGCTGGGTGCACTGAGCCTGCAAGGGTCCCGTCGTTGCTGCCAAGCCCAGCCCCTTTAGCGAGGACACGGTCCACCACACCAATTTGCGCCTTCCAAACTCGAACTTTTCTCGCAACACCGACCTTCCCTACCGCCCACCGCACCCTCACGAGGTATGTCTTGGACCCGAGTGCCCTTCAGAGCCCGGGGATGCAATCGCCGCCGTCCGCAAGGATGAGGGCGACACTGCTTCTCCTCTTCGACACGAGCTGAAGAACCCTTCTGCAAGGGCACTCTCCATGCTCTGGCATCTGGAGGCTAACCACGCACGCGCAGATACCTCAGTCGCCTCCGCCACAGAGAATCTCCCGTTAAACCGTCAAAATGGTCAAGACTTCCGTCCTCAACGATGCGCTCAACGCCATCAACAACGTAAGCTACAGCGCTGGAGGTGAACATGGACGCGCGCTAACAACTGAACAGGCTGAGAAGGCTGGCAAGCGCCAGGTCCTGATCCGTCCTTCCTCCAAGGTCATTGTCAAGTTCCTCACTGTCATGCAGCGTCACGGTACGTCGACTCGTTCATCTATAACATCACGCGTCATGTCCCCAAAGACGTGTATTCCTCCGCTAGCAACCCCATCACCTCTTCGGGCTGATAACTACTCACTGATCTCGACTCCCCACGATCAATGAGCTTTAAGTGTCCGATAAATTAACTGCGGAGGACTTACACGTCTTCGGATCCCTTTCATGACGTCTGATGTTTATTTCGCCGCAACATACACTAATTCTCTTCTTCAGGTTACATTGGCGAGTTCGAGGAGGTCGACGACCACCGCAACGGCAAGATCGTCATCCAGCTCAACGGCCGCATCAACAAGACCGGTGTCATCTCTCCCCGCTACAACGTCCAGCTCCGCGACATGGAGAAGTGGGTCGTCAAGCTACTTCCCTCGCGTCAATTCGGTTACATTGTCCTGACCACCTCCGCTGGTATCATGGACCACGAGGAGGCCCGCAGGAAGCACGTTGCTGGCAAGATTCTCGGTTTCTTCTACTAGAGGCTGTCTCGATATGTGGTGGTGTGGGATTCAATATACCCTGGCTTGGGCAAGCTTATGTTTGGCCAAGTAAGCCCATCATGGGAACGTTAGACGAAGAAATGACAAAAGTTCATGACTGGGAAATTTACATGTCCGCTGTGATGCTCGTGAATGTGCGATACGTTAGTGGTAAATGTCGATTGACACTTGAACATGACGATGTCGTGATTAGCGTGGCCTTTGCAAGACAACGACAGCTTGTACAACGTGATGGTCATCTCTGAAGACATTGAGATGTTGCAATCATACACCAATGGCGGACCACAAACTCATGATGAAGATGAAGGTATTTGAAATGTGATTCTCATTAACTATGTACAAGACACGGTCATCAAGCATGTTACCCAGTAAAACGCCAACCCGCGCCTTTACTTTTCATCAACAATCATCAAACCATGAATCATAATCCCATCATGATGCCTCTACTAGGGCACTCTTCCGAAACCAATCAATCCCTAAACGCCTGTGCTGAAATGCCTCTAACTCAACCTCCCACTTTGTCCAAACTCATCTAATCGTAAAGATCCATATCCTCCTCCGCATCCAACTCAGCAACAGCATCAGACTCATCGTACATCTCCGAATCATCCTCACTGTCCGTGTGGTTAGGCAACACCATGATATGTCCATCATCAAGCACAACCCTCGCGGTCTCACCCTCCTTGATAGAACCACGGAGGATAAGCACCGCAAGCCGGTTGAGCACCTCCTTCTCGATGAGGCGAGCAAGCGGCCTAGCACCGTATGCCGGCGAGTAGCCCGCCGAACCAAGGTAATCCCGCACCTCAGGCGTCATCTCGATGCGCACATTGCGTCCGTTCTGGTTGAGACGTTTCTGGATTTCGCCGAGGCGCACGTCGACGATCTTGCGGATCTCGCGCTTGGTGAGGCGGTTGAAGATGACGATGGAGGAGATGCGGTTGAGGAACTCGGGGAGGAACCAGTTGCGGAGGGCGCCCATGACCATTTCTTTAGTGGTGGGGTCGATCTTGCCGTCGGGCGCGTTGGGGCGCGAGAGGTGCTCGGCTCCGAGGTTGGAGGTCATGACGACGATGCAGTTCTTTGCGTCGACGACGCGGCCTTGGCCGTCGGTGATGCGGCCGTCGTCCATGAGTTGGAGGAGCACGGTAAGGACTTCCTTGGCGGCCTTTTCGACCTCGTCGAAGAGGAGGATGGAGAAAGGTTTGCGGCGCAGGGCTTCGGTGAGCTGGCCTCCGGCGTCGTGGCCTACGTAGCCGGGTGGTGCTCCGATCATTCGGCTGAGGGAGTGACGTTCTTGGTACTCAGACATGTCGAAGCGGATCATGGCCTTTGCGTCGTCGAATAGGAACTCTGCAAGTGCCTTTGTGAGGAGTGTCTTACCGGTACCTGAAGGACCACAGAACAAGAAGCTGGGCGGTTGGTTGGGGTTGGCCAGACCGGAGCGCTGGAGTCGGATGGCGTTGGAGACGGAGACGACAGCCTCCCTCTGACCAACGACGACTTCTTGGAGGTGGCGCTCCATGTTGAGCAGCTTGTCCTTCTCTGTAGTCTTGAGTCGAGTGACTGGGATACCGGTCCAGCGAGCGACAATCTCGTTGATCTGGTCTGGACCAACAGAGTCGCTCATGAGAGCCTCACCACCGCCACTAGCTTGGTGAGACCACATCTCTGCATCCGCGCGGGCCTTGTCTCGCTCCAGCTCGCTGATGCGCTGCTCGACGTCGGGAATGGCGTAGTACTTGAGATCAGAAGCAGTCTGGATGTCGCGCATACGCTCGGCCTCAGCAAGCTTCGTCTTGAGGCCCTCGAGCTTAAGCTTCTGCTCCTGGATGTCCTTGCTGCGACCCTTTTCGCGCTCGTACATCTCACGAAGCGGTTTCAGCTCTTCTTCGATGTTGGCCGCCTCTGCGCGCGCCTCCTTCAGACGGACTTGTGAGGCTTCGTCCTTCTCTCGGGAGAGCGCGTGGATCTCGATCTGTAGTTGTCGGTGGCGTCGCTCGAGGTTATCAAGCGCTTCGGGTTGTGACTCTCGGGTGACACGGACGGCTGCCGCAGCCTCATCGATAAGGTCAACGGCAGAATCGGGTAGTCGACGTTGGGTAAGGTAGCGGGCAGCAAGGGTGGCTGATGCGACAATGGCACCGTCCATGATGGTGACTCCGTGATGGGTTTCGTAGCGCTCCTTGAGACCACGGAGAATGGAGATGGTCTCGGGAATGGACGGTTCCTTGACGAGGACCTGCTGGAAACGACGCTCGAAGGCAGCGTCCTTCTCGATGTACTTGCGGTACTCGCCCAGGGTTGTCGCACCAATGCAGTGAAGCTGTCCACGGGCCAGCATGGGCTTCAGCAAGTTGGCAGCGTCCATACCGCCCTCTCCGGATGAACCAGCGCCCATGAGAAGATGGATTTCGTCGACGAACAATACTATCATCTCCTTCGACTCTTCGATCTCCTTCAGGACGCCCTTCATGCGGTCTTCAAACTCTCCGCGGTACTTGCTGCCAGCAACCAAAGCACCGACATCGAGAGAGAGCAGCTTGCAGGCTGCGAGGTTGGCCGGTACATCCGCGTCGACAATGCGGCGGGCAAGACCCTCGACGACTGTAGTCTTACCAACACCAGGTTCTCCGATGAGGACTGGGTTGTTCTTGGTTCGCCGAGTCAGGATGCGGATGACTCTGCGTGTCTCGTCTTCTCGACCAATGACTGGGTCGATTTTGCCCTCTCGTGCCATTGCCGTCATGTCGATGGTGAACTTCTTCAAGTTCTCATTCTCCTGCTCCGCGTCTGCCGACTTGGAGTCTACTCGCTTTGTGCCTCGGAGTGCCAGGATGGCATTATCGATCTGCTTGACGTTCGGTACGTTCGACTCGGCGAGGATCCGTTGCATTTGCGCATCTTGGCAGAGGGACTGGATGAGGTGGTCGACGGCGATGAAGCTGTCCTTTTGTGTCTTGCTCAAGTCTTCGGCGGAGCGGAGCACCTTGGCCATGGCTGGCGAAGGTGAAGTCCGCTCTGGCGGAGGGTCTTGGCTTGGTAACCTTACCATAGCCTTCTTGAGGTTGCGCTCGAAGAGTTGTGGGTCGCCATTCGCGCGTTCGAGGACTTGCTTGAATAGCGGCGGCGGCGGTACGTCGACTTGGTTCGCCAGATCCTTGGGCGGATCTATGAGCGAGACGGCGAGGTGGAGGGGTGTGAGTTGTGAGTGCGCATAGCCCTTAGCTAGATCGAAGCTGTCTGCTAGAGCCTTCGCGGCGCGGTCGGTGTAGGCGTCGAATGAAGTCATGGTGATTCGTGACTATAGCCTGATGTATATGGCCCGAAGCCAAAGGTAATAATCGTGTGTCGTGAGCTCGTACTCAGGAATCGTGTGTGCAGTGTGTTGTTGTTGGGTATCTCTGGAGAAGAAAGGAAGTGTTGCACAAAGGACTCGAGAAATATTTATAGGGTAAAGGCAGCTTTACTCAACACTTCACGAAGCGTCAGGAAGCCGTCAGTGACATCGTGTGGTTTCTCGTCATGTCTCGAAGCTAGGCGTGGGTTCTGCCCTGTCGGTAGAAGCTTCTGGATCCTCGTACAGGTTTCCGGTCAGGCAAAGAGCTCCCCGCCAATCGCAGCTACGTCACTCGTGCTGCACTATACTCGATATGGCCTAGACCAGTCGCGTCGGCCCAACTGGTGCCACATCAGATCATCACTCCACGCCTACCCAACGTTCCGCCTGCAATGACCATGGTTCAATGCGACTCAGGCGGATCCGCGATCAGCGTGGCAGGGTGTGACTCTTCACGCCTTGCGGCCTGACGTCCGGTTCGAAAGTCAAAGGGCAAGGTATACTCGACACGTCAGCAATATTTTCCTACATCGAAGTTTGATTCTCTGGATGAGAGAACTCGTTGACCAGGCAGAGCTTTACTACCAGGATTCTGGCTCTCTCCTTCGTTTGGCCACGTTTGTTGAAGTCCGCCAACTTCGCCTCGATGGTTTCCCCAGCTGCCAATGAAAGCCTTACCCTCGTAATCCTCGACTCCTATCCACCACTTCCCTCCAAGTTTGCTGTCCATCAGCACTGCAGCCTTCTCGTCCATTGTCACACATAGGAACAACCTCGACACATCGTCTGGAGCGACGTCGTCCATGCGTCCACCGGGGTACATCATGGTCGGCCACTCAGCTACGACCAGTCCGCCCGAACTAGGCCATGCGACACCAACCCACGCGTTTTCCCTCGCCGTCGGCTCCGGGAGAGCAGCCATTTCGTCCTCATCTTGCAAGTGGTGGGGTTGAGTGAAGAGGGAGTGTCTAGCGGGAGAATCCCACCACTTCCCACCCAGCAATAGTAATCGCTGAGCAAAGTCGTCTTCCTCTTGTCGAGTGGCGTGACGCTTCTTCGGTGGATCGAGACGGTCGGGGCCGAGAAAGTCGAAATCTGCAGGGCAGGGCCTCTCGAGTACGATCACACCTCCGTGTGATGGCCAAGCGAAGATGGTGATTTCTTCGTAGAAGTCGACACGTTTACTGAGATCTTTGACGCTATTGTAGATGGTTCGCGGACCGCACAAGTGGGTTGGACGTTGCACCGGATTTGTGAAACGTGCGCTATCAGATGGAGGCGGTGGCATGGGACGGATTAAACTGAGCAGGCTACCCATGATGAGACCGGAATGTGTGTCGAGTGCAAGGGTGCAGGCGGGGAACAAAAGATCAAGATGCAGTAGCTGTGCCGCATTCTCGATCACATGCAAACCTCAAATGGCGGAAACGCCCTCGCTCCGGCCCTTGCTAAGGCCAAGGCATACGCAGCACCTTAGAGATTACGATTATTGATCACACTGCGCAAAGCATTACAGGGCCTTCATGATGTAAAATGGCTGTCATACTTTCGTATTTTCGGTCCTATTTTGCACCCAACGCATCACCCCAGCACTTCTTCTCCATATCGCGCCTCACGAACGGCCACGCGAGAAGCATGAACATAGCCATCAGCGTATCTACGATCCCCCATCCGCGCCGCGGACTCGCACCCATAGCATTCGCCCACAATAGCTGAGGATCGAATCTCCCATCACATACAGCATAGTCGCCGCTCGCGACATTTGCCACAATCTCGGGCGCAATCTTCGCAGCGTAGGGAAATTGCTTCTCCAACTCGTGAAGCTCGCCCGACGTGCCTTCAATGCGCTTGGTAAGTTCGGGTTTAGTCTTTTGCTCTTGTAGAAAGGTTGGCGTGATGAAGTTGTGCGCAAAGATACATTGGACGGCGTATGTGCTCTTTGGGCCTGAGTATCTCATTACTTCCATGCGTAGGGTGTCGGCAAGTGAGCGTTGAGCAGCTTTGGCGGCTTGACGAATACACAGTATCAGTTAGTATACTGGCTTCAAGACTTGTACCATTTTTAGACGATGCATAACCACTTACCGGAGTATGCTAGGTAGCCAGGTGCTGGGACAAGCGATGCGGAACTATTCACGAACACAATCTTCCTCAACTTTGGGCTTAATGGCACCGCAGCGTCTTCGTCATCTTGAGTCCACAGCTTCATTGCCGCCTGCGCTGGATACAGGCTTGAGTAGTAGTTGTTGTTCATACATCGTTCGAATACCTCAGGCTGCAGATCGAGCAAGTACCCGCACTCCGACGGTGTACCGCCAGCAACACAGTACACGATATCCGGAATTGTCGGCTGTGATGCGAAAAGGGAAAACGCCTAGTAGTATCATTAGAATGCTAACCTGGACTTGCCTCCTCTTTATGGGTGTTAGACCGGACGCCTACTCACTGTTGAAGGTGTGCCAAGGTCTGCAGCGATTGCCGCAACCTGCTGACTTTCGTCTCTTCTGCTTGCAAGAATCTCATCTTTGGCTTCGTCAAGCGACGTCTGCCCGCGCGCAAAGATAGTCACATGAGCACCTATACGTTGCTGTTCAACAAGGACGACCGACACTCTAGGCATACCACGCTCGTACCTTGAGACGCCATAACCTTCGACATCTCCTTCCCCAGTCCTTTAGACCCGCCAATCACGAATACCATCTTCACATGTCAGCGTGAACCTTGGAAAGCGCGAATCAAATAGGCGCCGCCGTACCTTCCCACTTAGGTCACCTTTAGGCACCATGCTTGCGTGCTGTGAAACGGACGGCAATGTGAAAGAGTAGTGGTTGCCGGAGAATTGACGGGAGCGAAGGTGAGCCAGAAACAACGCCGCCACCTCATCCGTGGCCCGTGTAAGGGTTCTGCGCGTTTGTGGCACAGTAATTGTTTAGGCAGCGGCGCTGCATCGTGGTGCACGGCCCGCGTGATTTATGGACTTCACGTGGACATTAGGCTATGTCAAACTCCAGAAATTGTCTCATACGGATAATGAGGCTATGAAAGATTACCTGGTTTCTATTGCACGATCGCGTGTAAAGTCAGAAATATGGCAGCTTGGAGTGTGTAGACAAAGCCTGGGTTGTCTCACTCTATCCGAGCACGGTGAGACTTGGTCATTGCGTATATCCAATACTTGAACAACAACAAGCATACAAAAGTTCTAGGTGGGGGTTGGACTAAACAACCTGGGCATATCCTGATCTCCAAAAAAGCCTCGACGGAAGAATGCTACATGCACGTATGAGCATCCAAGATCCACCGGCCCGAAGCGCTAGCATGTGAAGGCTGAAGGAACTGCCGCCAACCTTTCTGCAACTATGATCTGACTTCGCCCCCAATCCTTCTTGCCAAGCCTCAACGGCTTACGTGCATATTTCGTGTTACCCACAACATGTACATGAAGCAATGATCTTCGCGGCTCGGGGACCGCCATTTTGGTACTTTATGAAGTTGATATGAGGGATAACGCGGCTGGCTTCGTTTGTTGCATGCGTTTTACGCCCGGTTGACCAGGCTACTCCATCCCTGTCACATTGTGCATAATCTTTGAACTACCAAGGCGAACTCGAGACGAAACGTATTACCCGGGTAATGATCGTGAGGCCAATGGAAGATACATTCAGTATCTCACCATCGAAGCAGGCATGCCAAACCCAGTCAGCTCTTCATGCGCCATCCAAGTATAGACCTTGTGTGCAGCTTGCGAAACGCCAATTCGCTGCGCATGATCCTGGCTTCCCTCGATTTCCATCATTTCCTGGATCCACGCGAAAATTGATGTTACCATCCCGCTTACTTGCTCTTCCGTGTTGCCGGCGTGGAATGTAACCTTTAAGCGACTTTCGCCCTTGGCAACGACAGGGTGCTCGACTGGGAATACGCAGTATCCGTCTAGAAGGAGGTGAAAGTACAGCCAGTATGTGTATTGCTGTCGGGTGCGGATCGTGATGATGTGGGATGTCGCCGTTGGTGATCCTTCCCAGTCTTTTAGTAGAGGGATGGCGAGTAGCCCGGTCTGCTCTGCGCTTTCCCAGAGGGGGTGCGATATGATTGACTGTAAGAAGAAATCTACAAGATCGTGGACCTTTTCTTGGGCCTGGTGCAATGTTAGAGAGCGATCGCCATGGACATTGATATGAAGAGGATGATTACCTGTCTTCCAACTTCCGACTCTAACAGCCTGTATCCTGTCCGGATAAGTGCTACAGATGCGAATGAAGGCGCAGTCGTGAAAATGATAGTTCGTGCGAAGTTCAGGAGCGTAGATTTGATTGTCTCGTTTCCAAGGATTGCAGCTGTTTCGCGAGTGAGTATTCTTGGCCCTAATGTAGGCCGTGAGATACATACCGCCTCTTGACGACAATGCCTTGCCGTATGAATGCATCACTATAGCCACCTCTTTTTCCAGACCAAGAGCACACACAAGACCCTTGCCTTGCGGCCCATAGATGCCGTTACTATGGGCTTCGTCCACCACAAACTGGACACTCCCACAGGGAGCCAGCTCCCTCGCTGCATCAACAAGTTCTTGCAACGGGCAGACATCGCCGTCCATACTATAGACAGACTCGACAGCTACTAGGACTGATCTTGCGCCTCTCTGGATCAACGGATTGGACTCTATGATCCATGTTAGGATGCGGCGAAAGTCCTCGATGTCATTGTGCGCGAAACTCTCTCGTTCTCCTGCCAGACTCTGGTCAATCCCTTCATGAGTGCTGGCATGCACCAAGGTATCGTATAGAATCACGTCGCCCGGTCGCGGTACTGACGTCCATATGGCCACGTTTGCTTCGAACCCAGAAGCCAGCAGTAATGCCGTTTCAGCGCCGTGAAACTTAGCGATGTGCTGCTCGGTTTCTTCTATGTAGGCGTAGTTCCCCTCGGCGAGTCGCGATCCCGGCGCCCCAGGGTTGTGTTGATCATATCGGGAAAGCTCTTTCAAGTATTCTGTCTTCAGGAGACCGCTGGTACCAAAGGAGAGAATGTCGTTGGAGATGAAGTCGACTGTGGACTCGGCCGCTTGCCATAGGTTCTGTTGAATCGAATAGAATGTGTGTGACTTCTTCTTAACTTCTAGTGCGTCTTCCAGGTTGCGATAGAATGAGGACGATGGGATTGTTTTTTGTCGGGGCTTCTGATTCCCGATGCGGGCTGCCAACTCTCGGCTGGGGCTGAAGACGGTCCTTGGGTCGTATGCCTCACCCATTCTGTGGAAACCTTCGTAAAGTAGATGCCCAGGTGTGTAACAGGAATAACCGAGAGTGATGCACTGCACAGTCAAGATAGTCGTTATATGTACGACCTGCCCCCAGATGAGTGCATAGCCGGTGCGACACAGCCATCAGATCGATCTGACTATATCATTGAGACAGGCAATGAGAGGAGGACGCTCCAGGGAGGCTGAGTATAGGCGAATGAGATGCTGGATCTGGTGGCACTATCCGTGGGCCATAACTACCCTTGCAGCTTGAAGCGTGCGGCGTCTCAACGCGGCTGTAGCGACCACAGACAGTGACCGGTCGAAAGGGTGCCTAAACTCGGCATGCAACATCATATTGGTGAGCTCTTACCTGCATGCAGGCGAATGTTGCAGAGTCGGCAGGGTATCAAGCAGTGAGGAGAGCAAGAGGGGAGGATCGTCATGACGCGCAGGGCAATTCGTGTTCGTCACGTGATGAATGGGCTCACGTCAGCGGATCACGCCCAGGCGAGTGGCTGGGACGCGTTTACCGAAGTTGTGCCGGGAACAGCAGGGCACCTGCATCTTTCCATTCCAGTACTGTGATGAACTACGAAGAATGCGATCCCACCAACCCGCGATGCCAGCCATGCACCCTCTACCTAGCGCCTATCACCCATGTGAACCCTATCACGATCGGGAAGATCATACTCGCTCAATTCGCTGACCTCGAACTGGTCGCGACGCTTCTTTAGTGGTGCGGCTTTGTGCCACGACGGCAGCCCGCGACGCGTCTCGGCCTGACCTTCAGCATGACCGCTTGAGCCCGGCCGCGTTATCTGTCGCAAGAGCGAGACAACAGAATCCGAGAATGGCAGGGCTTTGACGACTTTGGGAAGCGATGGGAAGCCAATGATGAGGAAACCAGCCGTCATCTCGCCTACACCCCAAAGACCCGCGATGGAGACAATATACAACTGGTCCGATGTGTGCAACAGCCTGTAAATGTAATACAGGCGCACCGCTGCGCTCGCACAGGCGAATATTCCGATACCGAAGAGGAGCGAGATACCGATCTTGCTGGCGCGCGACATGTGTAGCTGCCAGATCACCCTCTGTGGCAGCCCGAGGATGACCAAATCGGAGATGAGATTGACGATACCCGCAGCCATGTTGTGGCTTCTCATGTCGATAGGGCACTTCCCTTCTACCAAAGGATTCCATATCTTGGTCCGTGGACTACATTGGAAGATCTCGACCAAGGTGCCGACGCCATAGAAGAGGATGTTCGCGCAGATCATGACATGGGAAATCCAGAACACGGCGTTGCGCTGCCCACGAGGCACGAAGATCTTGAGCCAGTCGAGCAAGATGGCTACCTTCAGGAGCATGATGACCAAGCCGTAAAAGATTGAGCCCAGATGAACATGCTGTTAAGGTTCAGTTCAGGTTCATATCTCGATCGCTGTCGCACTCACGTAAAGGATTGGAAACAGATTCTGGAGCTGGATGTTCCACTGATGAACTTCAAAGCCTGGGAATATCGCGAGTTCGTATAAGACATATGAGTGTCCAGCAAATAGACCCTTTGCAGCCTGTTTAGTTTGGTTTGTCTTCTGGATACTGAGATGCTTACCAGAGCCGATATCAGGAGCGCATCTTCGATGCGAAATGTCTTCAACAGCGCTCTCGACCACAAACGAAGCAGAACTGCAAGTGCAGCGACAATGCTTCCGAGCAAGACAACACTATAGCCAATAGCATGGCTTCCGCCTGGGTGGTCGAAGTTTGAACTCGCACCCAGGGGTGGCTCTAGAGCTGGACCCTCCAAAAGCGCGGCTAGGAATATAGCCTGCTCTTCTGGCGAAGACTGTGCGAGTGCAGCTGGGTCCATGATGTGAAGCGATTATGGTATACGAATGTGGTTCTGCCTTTGTAAGCAGATTGGGTTGACGGGAAAAGCGGTAGAGTAAAGGAAAAATGATTCCAGCGCAGTGGATGACTGCCTTGCCGGCGCTTTATCAAGCTGACTGGCTACGGCAGATTGAACGTACGTGGGTGGCAGTAGGCGATATTAACGGCTGACATTTGGTCGCTTTTGGAAACCAACTCGCATGCAGCCACCCCTGCACGCGCATCGACTCTTTCAAGGAAATAACCTCCAAGGATTTTGACGCTTCCTGTAGGTCTGCCTTGGGGGCCACAGGCTGTAATGGCTCACCACCAATAGCCATACCATCGGTAGCAACGGCCAATCACCTCGCACCCCAGCATACGTCAAGATCATCATACCTGGGAAAGCTCGAAATAGCATGACCATCTCTATGCGCTTTCTCTTCCGATATGTTTTGGTGTAACTGAATGAGCACCGCACTTGAACAGTGACTGAACACTGTGAACTTACGCCGAAGCCTCACAGCCATGGAGCCCATCGCTATCGTTGGGCTGTCGTACAAGCTACCGGAAGGTGATAATGAGGATCACAGCTTCTGGGACAATCTTCAAAGAGGCAGAAGCCTCAGTCGTCCGTGGCCTAAGTCCCGAGGCAACATCGATGCATTCTACAGCTCCAACGTAGCGATGGATAATACGGTAAGCTACATCCACGAAACGTCAAGGGAGCAGCCGATGCTAATGGAGGTTGACAGGTATACTCCACGAATGCTCACTTTGTCAAAGAAGATCCTGCCGCCTTTGATGCAGCCTTCTTCTCCATAACCTCGAAAGAGGCCGCATCGATGGATCCTCAACAGAGATGGCTATTGGAAACTTCATACAAAGCACTGGAGAATGGTGAGTGCTGCCCTATCTCTGCATCACCAGTATTGTCGGCGAGGTCTAATCTGTTGCAGCTGGAATTCCACCAGAAACCCTTGCTGGATCACAGACGGCAGTGTTCGCTGCTTCCATGTCCGATGACTACAGCAGAATCTTGGCTAGAGACCCCGACGAAGCACCGACCAATACCGCGACTGGTACCTCGCCTTCTATTCTAGCCAATAGGCTCAGCTGGTACTTCGACTTCAAAGGGCCTAGCATCCAACTGAATACGGCATGCTCGACCAGCATGATTGCGATGGATTTGGCTTGTCAATCGCTTCGTAGCGGCCAGAGCTCAATGGTAACGCTACCCTAAGAGATCGTACCACCACAAGAATACTGACGCGCGCTAGGCTCTTGTTGCCGGAGCAAACGTCCTCCTCAGCGTCGAAATCTCACTCTACCTATCGAACATGCAGATGCTCTCACCAGACGGCGTCTCCTACAGCTTCGATCACCGTGCCAATGGCTACGCCCGTGGAGAGGGTGCGGTAGTCCTGGTACTCAAGAGGCTTTCGGATGCCATTCGAGATTCAGATGTCATACGTGCCGTAGTTCGGGCGACTGGCTCAAACCAGGATGGACGCACACCAGGTATCACGCAGCCCAGCGCGGAATCGCAAGAGCAGTTGATAAGACAAGTCTATAAGAGCAGCAATCTGGGATTTGAGTCTACACGATATGTCGAAGCTCATGGAACTGGTACCCAGCTCGGAGATGCCACGGAGATGAAGGCGATAGGTAGGACCTTCCGGGCTAGCCGATCACAAAAACACCCGCTATATGTTGGGTCCGTCAAATCCAACATAGGCCATCTCGAAGGCTGTAGCGGACTAGCTGGAATCCTCAAGTCTATCATGATATTGGAAATGGGCGTCATACCACCAAGCGCACTTTTCGAGAAGATCAGTCCAAAGATCAACGCCAAAATCTACAATGTTGAGGTACCCACGAAATGCATCCCATGGCCGACCAATGGGCTGCGTCGCATCTCAGTCAACTCATTCGGATTCGGCGGTTCCAATGGACATGTCATACTGGACGATGCATATCACACTCTTGAGTCCATGAACCTACAAAGCTTCCACAATACATTGGTTGCTTCGACTCTGCAGAAGTCACAAATGAATGGCAATATTCCAAATGGAAACATGAATGGCACGAATGGCAACGACCATGCCAGCGAGTATGGGGTGACCGCTGATCCTGCTCATATGAATGGCTCGACAACCGAGAGTACTACTCAGAGTGTCAAGGCACCGGAAGGGGGTGTTCAGCTACTCGTCTGGTCTGCAAGGGACGAAGCTGCGTTACGACTCGTGATTAAGCAGTATGCAGACTACTTCGACAATCGCGTATTAGGGCATGAAGAGAAACTACGTCGCCTCGCCTATACTCTGTCCTCTCGTAGGAGTGTCATGACGTGGAGGGCATACGCAGTCGTTGATCCCAGCGAGAAGTTCACGACCATCAGCGCTGCTACCTCGACCCTGATACGTTCAGCCCGAGAGGCTGGCATGGCGTGGATATTCACTGGTCAAGGTGCGCAGTACGCTCAAATGGGCTGGGAACTGCTCAGATTTCCCATCTTCAGGTCAACTTTGGTCAGGATGGGGGATATGTTTCGCTCATTAGGCGCAACGTGGTCATTACTTGGTACGCCAGCCAACTGCCTCTACTTTGACATCCACGCTGACTCTTGACTAGACGAGATGGCGCACGGGAACAACATTAATCAGCCCCGTTTCAGCCAGCCCCTCTGCACTGCTCTCCAGATAGCGCTTGTGGAACTACTAAGAAGCTTCAGTATTGCGCCACTCGCAGTGGTTGGCCACTCCTCTGGCGAGGTCGCCGCGGCGTACTGTATCGGTGCTTTGTCACTTGAGTCCGCATGTAAAATCGCTTACCATAGAGGAAGACTGGCTAATCACCTTATGGAATCTTTACCTCGTCCCGGAGCCATGATGTCAGTCAATCTTCCCGAAAGTGGCGTTTCAGCATACCTGGCCAAGGCTTCTCTCTCTGGAAATGTCCACGTTGCTTGCGTCAACAGCCCTTTCAACGTAACATTATCTGGCGATGAGGCCGAAATCGACACGCTGAAAGATCGGCTGGATGAAGATGGCATATTCGCGCAGAAACTGAGAACGGGCGTAGCTTACCATTCTCCCGCTATGCATGCCATTTCCGCGGAGTATTACTCGTCGATGGGTCCACTCGAACGAGGCCAGCAACAAAGCTCGATCTTCATGGTTTCTTCTGTGACTGGCACAGTAGTCGATGCCGATGCCTTGGTCACAGGTAGTTACTGGGTCGATAATCTTGTCTCCCCCGTCAGATTTGCGGACGCCCTGCGACACCTTGCCGTAACAGCACCGAAGCTCGATCGCAATCACACTATACATGATTATGTCGAAATCGGACCTCACGCAGCACTGAAGAGACCTTCCAACGAGACACTGGGTCAGTACGCGACCAAGAAGCAAGCTAGGTACATGTCTTTGTTGTCGAAATTCGATTCTTCTCTCAGATCGACCCTGAGGACAATCGGGTGCTTGTTTACGCATGGATATGCTCCGTCAATTGATGCGGCGAACCTACAAGATGCTCAAAGGGAACGCCTGCAGATCCTGGTTGACTTGCCTGAGTACCCTTTCGATCGTTCGCAGACATACTGGCACGAGACTCGACTTAGCCGAGACTGGCGGATGCGCAACAACGCACCAAGAAGCGTTCTCGGCATATGTGCTACGGACTGGAATCCTTCCGAGCCGCGATGGCGAAAGATGCTTAGTCTAGAAGAGACTCCTTGGCTTGCAGACCACGTCGTAGGTGACCAGGCGCTTTTCCCGGCTACAGGAATGATTATGATGGCTCTAGAAGCCGTAAAACAACACTTTCAGACCGACCAAGTCATTTTGGGCTACAATATCAAGGAAGCAACATTCATGAATCCCATCGTCGTTAGCTCTGAGCCTACGAGCAAGACCGAAGTGGTGACTCAGCTACGCCCGCTTCGTCAGGACTACGAGAAGACGTCGACACGTTCAGAAGTTCGTATTTTCGCTCGATCAGACAGCGAGTGGATTGAGTGTGTCCGAGCTGAAGTGCATGTGGAATACGAGGAGACTGCCACAGAAGTAGATTGTGGTCTTGAGGCGAGAGCTCACGCTAAATCATTGCTCGATAGCTACGTTGCCGCGGAACAACAATGCATGCTTCCTATAAGCAAGACGGACTTCTACGACTGGCACAAGAACCAGGGCCTCAAATACGGCGAAGCGTTCGCGTTGGCAGACAAGATCCGCTGGGATGGGCACGAGCTCGGTATTGCGAGCGTCGACGTCAGCGCATCCATGTATTCTTACGAAGGGGTGGTGCACCCAGCAGTACTTGATGCAGCTTGCCAAGTCTGCTTTACTGCTCCGTCTACTGGCATGTCAGACAAGCTACCGACAATTATTCCTCACAAAGTTTATGATACCTGGATATCAGCATCTGGGTGGCAACACCCTCAAACTCGCCACATCAGAATGCTCACAACGTCAAGATTCAAGAAGACAATCAAAGGCATCGAGAGCTCTTTTACAGCGCTCGCAGATGACGGATCCCCGCTTTGCCATGTATCGCGTCTAGAGATGTCGCCAGTGCTCGGTGCTGAAACGAAGAACGAAGTGGAAAGGAAGCTGCTACATGGCTTTGATTGGAAGCCCCAGCTATCGCTCATGAAGCCAAGCCAGCTTCAGGCGTATTGTGAAGCTGATTATTTCGCAGATGATGAGTCAACGCAAGTCGACTTCATCATCGAACTTGAGCAGACGATTCGCGCCGTTGTTCACCGCAACCTCGACCGACTGGAAGACACGGACTGGTCTACAGCACCAACACACATGAAAAAATATCTGTCATGGCTCAAGCTACACCTTGAGCACGTACCGATACTGTCGCAAAAAGAGCTCACGGATGAAGAGCTGAACAAGAAGCTCAATCATCTGAGTATGCAATTCCCGGACTGGAGAATGTTCATCGAGATAGCAGAGCACATTGTCCCCATCGTACGCGGCGACATCAATGCGCTCGAACTGCTTTTCTCCACGACCCTCGCCCAAGACATATACAAAGCCATGTTCGCGCCAGTGTACAATGACAAATTCATCTCGTACCTCAGCCTAGTGGCGCACGAGAACCCAACACAGAAGATCCTTGAGGTTGGTTCAGGGACAGGCGCTATGACGGAACACATTATTTCCACTCTTCGCGACGTCGAGAACCGCACTGGCGGTACCGCATTCTCTAGCTACACCTACACCGACGTCTCCCCAGGCTTCTTCGAGAAGGCACGCGAAAAGTTCTCTCATAGCCAAGATCGCATGATCTTCAAGACGTTTGATATCGAAAGCGACGTAACGAAGCAAGGCTTCCAATCTGGTACCTACGACGTAATCCTCGCCGGCAGTGTCATCCACGCCACGAAGAACCTCGCCGCCACGCTCCAGAACCTCAAGCGTGCATTGAAGCCAGGAGGCAAACTCATTTTCCATGAGACTACAGCGCCAGACTGCTTCCTCATGAACTTTGGCTTTGGCATACTGCCTGGCTGGTGGCTCAGCGAAGAGAAGTTCCGTACTTCCGGACCTACCATCACAGAACCGGAGTGGGATCGCTTGCTACGGGAAAACGGGTTCTCGGGCAACGACTTCGTTATTCGCGATTATGAGGAGCCTGCTGCGCATCAATGCAGTGTGATATTCTCCACAGCCGTCGAAGACCTTCAGCCCTCACATAAAGGTGGCAGAATACTGTTCGTTGTCAACGATGCCAACCAGTCTCACTATGGTTTGGGCACCCAACTCTTGCAGCAAAAGCCCGGAACATCCCGTACGACGACAAGAATATGCCTATTCACACAGGTTGGCGTTGCCGAAGTGTCGAAAGAAGATATCGTCGTCTTTCTCGCTGATATAAGTGGGGATATCCTGATGTCCACATCGACTGAAGCATTTCAGCTCATTCGGGAATGGGTGCATGTATCCGAGAATCTCTTGTGGGTCTCTTCTGCTATGCTCCCCAACAACACCGACTGCTCTCCTTATCCTTGTGCTAGTCTCAAGGATGGCTTTCTTCGGGCCATGCGGCTAGAGTTCGCTAACAAGCGTATCGTAACGCTCTCGATTGAGGATACGGTCCGCGATTGGATCAGCGGATGCAACGCCATCTGGGATGTACTTGACGTAATGTCCTCAGCGCAGTCGCCGGAACTCGAGTACGTGCTACGCGACGGCCACATGATGACCGGACGGCTCGTAGAAGAGAGGGATCTGAACATGGACTTGAACTCAATGGTCAAGCCACAGATGCGGACAGAGCCCTGGCTTCCCGGTCCACCACTCAAGATCGAGATTGGAAGCAGAGGCTCTCTTGAAACATTGCATTTCGCAGAAGACACTGAACATCATGCTCCCCTCGGAGACCGAGAGGTCGAAATTGAAGCCAAAGCGTGGGGCCTGAATTTCCGCGATATGTTCCAGGCGCTCGGTCGACTGGAAGAAGATACCTTCGGCTCTGACTGTGCTGGTGTAGTCACGCGCGTAGGCTCCGCCTGTACACGTATTCAACCAGGAGACCGAGTCTGCATTTGCGGTGTTGGGTGCATGCGAATGTTTCCTCGCGCCGACGAATGGGCTACCGTTGAGATTCCAGAGGCCGTCTCGTTCGAAGAAGCGTGCGCAGTACTAAACTGTGGCATAACAGCCTATTACTCCCTGGCCGAAGTTGCGAGATTGCAAAAAGGAGAAAAGATTCTGATTCATGCTGCATCTGGTGCGACTGGTCAGCTTGCTATCCAGATCGCCAAATTGATAGGCGCTGAAATATTCGTGACCGTAGGCTTCGACTTCAAGAAGCAGCATCTCATCGACCTGTATGGGATCCCTTCCGACCACATTTTTTACAGTCGAAACACGACTTTCGCGAGAGGAATCATGCGTCTCACAAATGGGTACGGCGTTGACGTCGTGTTGAATTCTCTTGTGGGAGAGGGGCTGCGTGCCTCGTGGGAATGCGTCGCACCATATGGCAGGTTTGTTGAGATTGGCAAAGCTGACATCAACGCCAATTCTTCACTCCCAATGGCGGCTTTTGCGAACAATGTCTCGTTCTTCGCGGTCGATCTGCGCCATATTGCTTTGAATCGCAAGCAAATGGGACGGGACTTGCTCCACAAGACGATGGATCTCGTCGGAGAAGGGAACATACACTGTCCGAGGCCATTGAACCTTTTCCCGGTGTCAGACGTTGAGGGCGCGTTCAGATATCTCCAGAGCGGGAAGAATACTGGACGCATCATCATCCAAATCGATCCTTCTGCAAAAGTGCAGGTACGTTTGTCAGGTCATAAGTATCGATCAAGACTAACTAGTTGAGAAACGCGTTCTCCGCCGTCGATCGTGGCAATTCGACCAGAACGCCAGCTATATCGTTGCCGGAGGACTGGGTGGCATCGGGAGATCTATACTCAAATGGATGGCCTCTAGGGGCGCGCGACATCTGATCGTACCATCAAGATCTGGTGCTTCTTCGGGAGCAGCTGCTGAACTGGTGAGCGAACTAGCGGAGCGAGGCATCAACGTGTGCACCCCGAAGTGTGATGCATCTAATGCAGAGTCGCTCTCTGATCTTCTCGCTGCATGCGCAAAATCTATGCCGCCAATTCGAGGTTGCATCAATGCCACCATGATGCTGAATGTAAGTCTCCCAATACTCACGCTCGAGGAATCGCTTACCAAGTCTCGTAGGACGCGACATTCGACAACATGAGTCACACTCAGTGGGTTCAGACTATCCGTTCCAAAGCCCACACTTCATGGAACCTCCACACCGTGCTTCCTCGCGATCTGGATTTCTTCATCATGTTATCGTCGGTGGCAGGCGTCGCAGGCAACATCGGTCAGTCCAACTATGCAGCAGGCTGCACCTTCCAAGATGCACTCGCACGTCATCGAGTCCAGCACCAGCAGCGCGCAACGTCCATTGACCTGGGTGTCATGCGCACCATTGGCATCGTCGCGGAGACTGAACGCTTACACGAGAACTTCAAAAAGTCCGGGAGTCTCGGCCAGATTGAGGAGGATGAGTTCCTGGCACTGTTGACCATATACTGCGACCCAAAGCGTGCCAATATGCCGCACACGATAGGCGAAAGTCAAATTGCCATGGGTCTGGTAACTCCTGTCGATCTGCTGGAGCGCAATTTGGAACCCGCTGAGGTGTTGCAGCGCCCACTCTTCGCATCTTTCTCTCGAGCCCGTGGCACGAACCAGGCCAACACACAGAGCAGCGTCAGTGCTGCCACGCTGTTCAATCTTGCGGAGGACGATGAGCAGCGAGTAGCAGTAGTCCTCGAGGCGCTGGCGCGCAAGCTCGCCCGCGCACTGTCCATCCCTCCAGAGGAGATTGACGTCAATAAACCCCTTCACGCTTTCGGGGTGGATTCACTTGTCGCAGTCGAGCTGCGCAACTGGATTGGCAAGGAGTTTGCTGCGGACATTGCGGTTTTCGATATCATGCGCGGTAGGACCGTGGCCGCAATCGGGGAGCTGATCACGAAGATGAGTCAACTCAAGCGGACGAAGAAAACTGTGGCCAGTCTTGAGGCAGATGCATGATGCGATAGACAATTTTCATGTTGCTTGAGGGATCGCTGTAGTGGGAACGCGGATGGCTGGGACTCCAGCCACTTCGTTACGATAGGGGCATTTGGCCCGTGGATTCGGTCTAACCATAAACGGAATGTTATCATGACATCATAGCGAAGCACTCTCCCTGCTGTCTTTCTTCTCCTTGTGACGATCTAACCGCACCTCCAGCGGGCCCAAGTGCCGCTGTGAAGCTACTGTTCCTCTCAATACAGCGTAGAGGTAGATTCCGGTCAGCACCTCCGGCCTTCCATTCCGCTGCACACTCTGCGTCTGATCTTGCAGCGCTGCGTCCGTATTCACTGTCGGGTCGCTGGGAGATGTCGCCTTCATCGCTTTCTTGTCCTTGCATATCCAGACGTTGCCTAGCATTAACGCAGCGACGATGCTGAGGGCTAAAAATGGCAAAATGGAGATGAACGACCAACTAATAGCGTTGGCGGCAGCAGATCGGAAGCGTTCCAGATCTTCCAACGAGAGGTCGCTGATAGCATTCAATGCGGTGGGTGAGTTGACGTCGACTCTAGATGACCCTTCGCTACCGACGAAGTAGGCCGACATCTTGTTCTGGAAGACCGAGCCCATCACCGTCAAAGCTATGGTTCCACCAAAAGGACCAGCGAAGCTCAAAAGGCCGAGAATGACAGCGATCTTGTCCCGGTACATTCCTGTCAGGTGTAGGTTCTCTGGCATAAAGCGGATGCCAGTACCGAACCCGGCGACGCCCATGAGCACGTTGACAGCGGTCCTCTGGCGAGCACGTATAGCCCATGATAGCGCTCCGATGCTACCTGTCTCTACGATTGTACCGATCAATAAGGGCCAGATGGTCTGTCGAGGGTGTACGTTGCACATGATAATGGCAGTGTATACGCCGATACCGATCCCGGGAACGTAGAACAGCAGCTGGAGCCCAGCTTTACCAGCGTCGAAACCCTCAACAAGAGTGAAGTAGATACCGGCGAAGTAGAAGCAGGCGTAGAGAGCTGCGCCTGTTGCTGCGGAAATGATACATACTAGGGTCACATCCTTCTCGTGAAAGAGTTGGTATGGCACCACGGGCATGATCCGCGGAAGCCGTTGCGCGAGATGTCGGCCCGGCGCCATGTATCGTTGGTACACCACGAACACTACCAGCAATAACGGGCCGGTGATAAGCGGTATCAGAACGGCTGGTGATGTCCAAGCATAAGCTGAGCCACCCCAACTGGTCGCCAGGATAATCAGCGCCACTCCAACGACGAACGTTCCCACGCCGATCAGGTCGATGCACGCGCATCCATCGAGGAAAGACCTAAGAGAAGTCTGACCCGACTGCGGATGAGCCACCGAGTACCTCCCCTTCTTCAGATCAGGTCGCAGGAACGCAATAGTGATGATGCTTATTGCGCTCAATGCGGACAAGAGCACAAAGACATATCGCCAATGCACATTCGTCATGTAGCCTCCGATCTGCAGACCTCGTTAGTAACGATATATCCGGCTGCTGAGAGTCATACCAAAGGCCCTGTCGCATACGCGATGCCAATCAAGAAGTGGAAGATACTTGTGTTAAACGCTTGCTCCTTCAGAGACACATTATCCGCCAGGATGATGAGGGAGCATGTAGACATGCCTGCCGTCCCCACGCCCTGGAGCGCTCGACCTAGCACCAAGACTGGCCAAACTTGTGCACTTGCGCAAAGGACGGCGCCCAGGGTCATGATAGTAACGGCAGATTGCAGAGCTGCGTGCCGCCCGGAGACATCTGCTAGTTGGCCGAACAAGGGGACGAACGCGGTGTCTGTGAGCGTGAAGGCTGTACCGATCCAGCTGATCTGGTTCAAAGCTTCTACTCGGTGGTGAGCATACGTACTGGCAGGGCTTGGCAGGAGTGCTCACGGAAATGAGACGCGATGAACGGTTGAGCTGTCGCGACGATTGTCAGATCCATACTCGCGGTATAGAAGCCTGGTAATAACAGTAGAAGAAACTTCCATCTTCGCGCATTAGTTTTCCATGCTTCTTTGCTGGTATTCACAATGGTACTAGCTGCGATGAACTCAGGTTGGTGTTCCTGGCCAGACTGTAAGGGCGCCGTCATCGTAAGGTGAAGACAATGCGGAATTTAGTTCTTGAAGACCTTGGAAGGTCTTATATAAAAACTGAACTGGTGTATACATCAACGTATACTTTAATTCTGGCTTCGAAACCCACGCCGTTCTTTTGAAGAATGTTGCATATCTCTATCATAGAGTGCCAAGTGTATTGGCGAAGTGTTGACGAGTGCGAGAGGTCGGTGGCGCAGGCCAAGCATGTCGCATTCGCTAGCACCGGGCGTCAGGTGCGATTCTCAGCCTAAATTCGCATTCGCTAGATTGTTCGCATTGAGGAAGTTGTATCTTCCGAGACATCCATATGACTGACGTAAACTTCGTGTGTCTCTCTTGTATGTTGTATATACTTGTAGGTGCAGCGTAGACATAACCTAGGAACATGATCTCTTATAAAAGCTTCCTTGGCTCAAACCAGTAGGGAGGCTGAGCAAGATCATCGGAATTGAGCGAACGTCACCGCAGACTGCTACTACATGATATTAAGACGAAGGAGCGTTATTAACATTAGACTAAAGATTGACAAATACGATAGATGAAAGAAGTGAGAACAACGCCAAACAGTCTCACCCTAGTCGTGAGATGATGTGAGCTCCTCGGACAGATCTTAAGTCTCTCTGGTAGTCGTTCATCCTTGCAGAGAAGATACGAACGAGATCAGTGACATTCTGATGAAACTTCTTGCGCTCAGCGTCGTTCGAGAACTCGAACCGGAGCCAGTACATGTCGCGCACACATACCGCACCCGTGTCAGATGACGACCAATGTGCACCGACAGCCGCCAGATTCCAGCTGTTGAGCCCCTTCTTCGCATAGAAACGACGTGCTAGCAGTGGTGTACCAGATCGCTCTAGCACACTGACTGTACAGCTGGCTTTGGTGCTTCGACAGTCGCAGCTTTTTGGCTCGATCTTCGTACGTTCGTCGAGCTCAATGACTAGAAAAGATAACTGCCCTGTATCTGGCTGCTTGAGAAACACCACAAGTAACGGTGGCTCTGGTTGTGTCAATTGTACTGCCCTGACTGCAGAGCCCAGGGATATTTCCTGTGAATGAGCGCTGGAGATGTTGCTCATGATGCTCGACGTCGAGGTGAAAGTCCGTTCGCTGAGTGGCTCAGGACTCCATGCACCCGATACAGTTTCTGAAGAATTTGACAGGTCTTCTGACGACCTGCTGTATTGGTGTTGGGACGCGGATCTCTTTTCGAAAGAAGCTTTCTGCCACAACTGTATGTTTCCGATCTCAGTCAATACGTCGGTGGTCTTGCTTGGTTTACCTTCGGATGCGCCACCGTTCGTTGGGAAGCCCTGCCCTTTCATGAGCGATGTGACTATTACAGTTCTCCTTCACACGTGTCAGTCTCATACAGGCATATAGTTGAAGTGCTGCTTGCGCGACAAGTTTTGTAGGCTAATAGCTACCCACCTTTGATGTACGCATCTGTAGCCCGTAATGAGGTGTTGCAATCTGAACAAGTCGGTACATGAGCGAAACTCTGGAGTTAGGCCATTTGTGTCATCAGGCGAGCTCTGCAGCTTTACGCTACAAGAGGCATTTTGCGAGCCTGGGACTTTCGGTATTGCATACACAGGGACCAGGAAAACCTTCCTTGGGTCAAGGTTGAGTCTTTGTGTTACGCTGTCCCTGGAACTGCTGCCAGTGCATAATGTTATAGTCGTGGTGGTATCTTCCATTCCCAACGTCCCATCCATGTTACGCACTACGCGAAAAGTATGTGTCTGCGTACCGGAGACAAGCGAAATGTCCAGAAGAACTCCAAGATTCGTTTCGTGCACGTTATCGTTGATGGAAATGGGTCTCGGCCAGATAGCAAGCATTTCCTTGGGAGACCGCATAATAGTAGACAGTCGGGGGCGCGCGATTGGACTGCTAGCGATTCGAGCGCACTCTATGCGAAGTCGTCGATCCATTTCCCGGATGCACCTATCATAGAGACCGCCTGGATTTGAGCTTTGGATACTTGACCAATCGTGTCCTTCCCTAATCTTGTCCATTAGCCATATGCTTTTGAGAAGGCGAAGATATGATGTCGCATCTCCATCCGGACGAACGCCATTGAAATGATTGCAAAAGGCTTCTAGGCCTTCTCTGACTGATACTTGCAGTCCGTCAGATGTTTTCTCCCAGTCAAACGTATACAATGAAGAACGTTGCTGTAACTCCGCTGTGAAGCGCTCGGCAAGCTCGACAGGGACTTCTATATCTCGCTTGATCACCGGTTGATACGCGTCGGTGCTTGAATCGCGACTAGCAACAAGTAGGTGCTTCAGCTCCTGAATTCGCTCCGCCAGGTCTTGGTGTTGTTCATTGTGGATATCCCGCAGCTGTGTTTGGACATGAATGTTGAACGCGTCGAGAACGAGACCAATCTTGACGCTGTGATATTTCAAACGCTCAGTCAAATCTCTGACCTGCGCATCCGTATTCAGGTTGTAGATGATGTTGGTGATGAAGCCGTCTTTGCCAGTACGAAATTTGCTGACGTCATTGAGCAACTGCTGACACTGTTCCAGCGTCAAGCGGAAGTTGCCCACGATATCGATCAGTGCTGTGGTATCATATAGTTCAGGTCCATAGCTCTCGAGCCTTTCGTTTTCTAAGCCGGTGTTCGCGGTTCTGACGATGGATTCGATGGTGTTGAGACTCCAGTGCAGCCGGAACAACGCGTCGCCAAACTCAAGATAGCGTCGCGCTAAGACAATACGGTTAGCGCGGAACGTGGGTAGGGTGGCTGGGAGGACAAACGCAGCGACTTCTCCTCCGTGAACCCCTTCTCGTATATGATCCACGATAATTTGATGGCACCGCAAACAAAGCTGAGTACACCGAAATCCCACGGCATGTTACCGACAGTTGCAATGCTTTGAGAAGATGCAGGCTTAGGGACCGACGACGATACCTAAGGAGCTGTCTGCCGTTATCTGGCACACGCGCATCCCTTCCTCGCGCATCCCCTGCATCTCCTCAACTGTGGCAAGCGATGCTTTGTTCACTATCGGATTTAGCCTTGCACTCCTACGCAAAGTGGCTTTCTATTGAATTTCGAAGCGACCTCGTGTTAGTGGCTACTATTCACATGGCAAGTATCGTTAAGTAAGGAGTCGCAGCTTCGCGGTGCGAAGGCTTTGAAAGTCGACGGAAAGAGCAAAACTCTGAGCAAGGGCTTCGAAAACTAGCTCTTCTGCCGGGTGATAACTAATGCATGAAACTCAAGGGATAAGTCATTCAGATACCATTACCGGCTTCTTGCTGGACAGTCACTACTCTAGCTAGGTACTACTTATCCAACCAGATTCCTGAGCTTCACCAGCTCCAAATCGATGCTTAGTACCGAACGATGGACGAATCATTTAGCGTCCAATCGGGAGATCGCAGCCTGTGCTTAGACGAAGAAGACCGCGCATACCTCGAGGCTTTGAACGACAAAGATGTTGTCGCTACGAAAAGCACGCCGAATCCTCTAGGTCTCTTCTCAGTAGTGGCCTTCATACTCCAGCAAGTCATCGGTACTGGCATATTCCGAACACCATGGACCGTTATGCAGGCCACCGAGAGCCCGGGAATCACGCTTTGCTTTTGGGCTTTCGGTGGGCTTGCAGCCATCGCGGGTTCTATATTGTACATCGAGTTCGGCTTGACTACACCTCGGCATTCAATTGATGGCGAAAGAGTGCCGGTGGTACGCAATGGTGGAGACATGAACTACGTGAGTGCAGAGCCGCACGCCTGCCACTGAAACACTGCTGACCGCGACTAGGTGAACTACCTCATCAAGCGACCCAAGTTCTTCGTCTTCTCCTTCTACGCAGTCAACTACGTGATCATTGCTTCGAGCGCAGCCAACGCATTGACTTTCGGCGACGACATAATAGGCTCTCCAGGAACCGATAGAGGTGCAGCCAAGGATGCCGCGGCACGATGTCTCGCGATAATGGCAGTAACGCTTCCGTGCTTCTTGCATGCGTTCACTCGACGTGGAGGTATCATTCTTAACAACGTCATCGTCGTTGTTAAGATTGCCATCCTTTGTGTGTTTCCCATCATGGCGATTTGCGTATTGGCCGGTGTCGCGCATACGAATCACGCAGCAGCGAACATGGAATACAAGAACTCATTTGCGCGGACACACGGAAATGCCGACAGCTATACACAAGGCATGCTAGCGGTCTTTTATGCTTATGGCGGGTACAATCAAGCCAACTATGTAGGTCTTGATCGGCCTGATGAAGCTTACGTCCCGTTGAACTACCGCTTACCCGTACTCAGATACTCTGCGAGATCCACAGACCGCAGAAGAACTTCCCCAAAGGCATCATAATCGCTCTCGGCATGATCTGCATCTTATACATGCTCGTAAATATCAGCTACGTAGGTAGCCACGTAGTCACCTCCCAGATCTGCGCTGACACCCCCAGATGATCGTTGTTAGCAAAGAGCAACAACTTACATCCACCGATGTAGCCCTCGCTTTCCTCAACAACGTCATCGGCCACAAACACGCATCTGCAATCCTCGCCATCTTCACGACCATCAACAGTTTCGGCAATGTCATCGGCATGACCTTCACTCTTGCCCGCGCGAAACAAGAAATAGCAAAAGAAGGCGTCCTGCCATTTGCCAAGTTCTTCGGCGAGAACCGCATTCTCTTTCGCAAATACCGCGAGAAACACCATTCCAACCAGTCCGAGCCCACTCCCTTGGGCGCCCTCTTCCTACACTGGGTATGCGCCGTGTTTCTGATACTGGTAACATGGCCCATGAAGCCCTCATCTGCGTACAGGATCCTCGCAAACCTGTACGTATACCTCATCGACATCATACCGACCTTCATCATGGCAGTCGGCATGTTGTATCTTCGCTTCTTCACGAAGTGGTCTCTCAAATCGCCCCTCCCAGCGTGGTTGAGTGTCACCGCTGCTCTTATCTACGCTATCTCGGGCGGCTTCCCCTTAGTCGCAGTCTGGATACCACCGTTTCAATACTCAGACCTCGACGTTCACGACATCATTCCCGGGCTTCCTTGGTACGCGACCGGCATGTTATCGTGGATCATGCTCACGTGCTGTATTGTGTACTGGGTCTCTTTTCGCTTCTTCCTACCGCGCATTGGGCCTAGAAAAGGCAAAGAATTCGTGGTTGAGAGGGAGCCGGTGTTTCGTATGCAAAAACCGGAGAGGGTTCAATGGCACGAGATTGTGCTGCATAGCTGGGTCATCAAGGCTCAGCCTGAGAAGAGGAGGGGGTATATGTTGGATGATCTTTAAGTTTAGCTTTGCATAGACATGCAGGACGGTCTAATCACGCCCTACACATCCTCCTTCCCCTTGAACTCATTAGGCTGTACCATAACCCTCTTTTCCCTCAACCCCTCCCTCTCCTTCTCCGCTTCCTCCTCCTCCTCTCTCTTCTTCCTCCTCAGATACTGACAAAACTGACTCCGATCCCTCATCCTACCACCCCACCGCACGAAAACAAACGGCACAACACACAGCGCCAGACTGAAGAACCCCAGTAGACTAGTCGCCCAAGCCACGCCCATAGTCCTATACATCGGCTTCGCAGCAAAAGGCAACACAGCCCCAAACGAACTACGCGATAAACTCGCTGCTGCCATCGCACTCGCAGCGAAGACTTCGTACGCATCGACTAGATAGTTGAGTAAAGCCATGAAAAGACACAGATATCCCATTCCAAACAGTATACCCGCGAGCGTGGGCACAATCCAATGGATGCTCTCTCTACTCGTCCAGCCCAGCCAGAACGCGCTGATAACGAAGAACGGGCCAGCGATGCAAGCGAGCGGCAGCCTCCGCATTTCTTCGTTGCGCGACCAAGGGCGATTGAGGCGTTGAGCGCGAGCCAAGTACCAGTCCCACGACAGGTAGATGCCAGCGGAGATAAGGGCGCCGACGCCGATAGGGAGGAAGGCGAGACCTGTTTCACCGGCGTTGAAGTGGTAGATGCCGGTGAAGATTATGGGGTAGGACTGGAGGAATATGTAGAATATGGCGTCTTTGGGGGTGGGGGTTAGTAAGGAGATGGCTTTGTGCAGGAATGGTAGGGGAAGGTTGGCTTACAGGCGTAGCTTAGATATAGACATGTGAATAGAACGAGAGGTTCGAAGCAGATCATACGTAGTGGCCGGGTCAGAATGACGGTGACAATGTGATTCAAATCCGTCTTCTCCAGTTCAAGTGGCGCAATGATATTCTCATTACCCGTTTCCTTGCGTAGTCGCTTTGCTCGCCGCTTTAGGATCGTGGGTCCGTATGTTTCGTCGAAGAAGTAGAACAGCGGCCATGTTGCTCCGGCAAGTATGACCCCGATCCAAAAGGCCCAGCTCCAGGATATCACGCTGATGAAGCCTGATATCGGGGGTCCGAGAATGGGTCCGAATGTTGTTGCTGCCTGTTATGCTTCGATTAGTTTTCCTTCCTTCTGCTAAAGTTCGTTATGAGGAAGGGGATAGGAGCCACATACCATGAAAATCGCCATACTCCTCCCCCGATACTTAGGATTGTGATAGATATCCGCACATATCCCGCCGACAACACTAATCGCGCAACTCCCTCCCACGCCCACCAACAACCTGAAGATGACGAGCGAAGCGAAGTTCGGCGAGAGGGCCGAAGCGATAGAGAAGATTGTGAAAAAGGCAAACGAGATTACCATGGTTCCTTTGCGGCCGTAGGATTCTGAGAGAGGGCCCCAGAGCATGGGACCGCATGCGTAGCCGACTAGGTACATGGATGTAGGAAGGATGAGCACGTACTCGTTGGTTTGGTTGAAATGGCGGGATATTGGGGCTGTGGCTCCGGCTGCTAGACTGGAGGTCATGGTGCTGTTCATGACTTTTGATTATTTAGCTGTGTCATTGTCAGAGGGCATTAGGGTGGCTTACCACTCATGATAGCAACGACGAGGGCGTAGATCTTCTTCCACTGGAATACTTGTTAGTCCTTTCTGGGCTCACTTCTCCATTGTTCAACTCACGCGACCCCAGTTATTAGGATTCTCAGTATCTCCATCTTCAAAGCGGATAACACGTCTCCCACTGGCATGTCCATCGTGAACACTCGACGCCAGCGACGGCGAATTCGATCGTCCATGCGAACTCAACGTTGAAGGTGTCCTCGACGCAACTTTCTCAATCGCATCCTCTTTCTCTGTATCGTCAGATGTGCCAACATCTTTCTCAAGTTCCCTCAGTCGCGCAGCACGTGAGCTTTCTATAGCACCGGCTATGTTGACCCGTTAGTCAATCACAACCCCAATATCACAGTAAGACGAAGTGATGCGTACAACGATTCCTTGAACTCTGTCGACTCGTCGTGCTCCTCTGACTCTTTGAAGTAAAACTGCGGACAAGAGCGACTGGTGAGGTAATGGCTTCATGGCCCGGCCCTAAGCCTTGTTGTTCTCGGGAATAAGTTCGTTCCAGATCTGCACTCTCCATGCTGAATTAGTTACCCGGAGGAATGACGCAAATTGCTCTTGAGCAATTCAGGACTCAAAAAGACAGAACGGATGGCTTTTGCGAATGCAGTTAGAGAATGGGAACGGGTGATAATAGACTAGAACTCAGGTAGTATACTGCGCGACCCCGCGCACTTGTGGATTAGCATCCGAGGTGTTTAAGTAGGCGCCACAATTCCCCTGATCAATAATTTTCGTGGCTGCACGTCTACCTGGTTTGTCGATCGTAGCCGTTACCGCATGCAGAGTAGGCGGGGCTTAACTTACGAATGCATGACGGGTACCGTTTAGCTGCGTGCGCCCTACGAGGCCCGACGGGGAACAAGACGTTATTATGCATCGGCAAACTTACCGATGCGCGGCTCTCCAAGTGGAACTCGGTGCATTGTTTGATAATTGACCTGTAATGAGTCACGTACGTTATCTTCTTTCGTTTTGCAAGGCAGGGAATGCGCGTTTGACTCAGATTACCATGTCTTCGGTCTGCGGATTAGTAAAGTCCGACGGTATGCGTTAGGAATTGTGGAACGCCGATTCGGAATTCGATCCATCTCGGAATGCGATTTCAGACTGGGACGTGTGTTGATTCTCGAATCTTGTTGCATGTATCTCCGTCGGCGAACTATCGCTGCAAGTCTACAGCGTATGCATCGCCTATGTCTCGAGGTTGATGCTGCGACCAAAGCGGCCGTAGAGTGCCTTCTTCAGCTCTCCCATCTCTTCTTGGATACCTTCTAGCTTGGCCTTGAGAGCTTCTACCTCGCTGTCAATGGTCTCTGTTGATGAACTCAGAAGCTCAAGGACCTGCGGTTGGGGTAATGAGACGAAGCAATCCCCGACTTTGTATCTGTGGGTTGTGATCAGCTTATTGATACTCTGGTCATATTAAGATGAGAAGCCGATTTGCAGCTGGTCGCAGAGAACTTACGGTACTTTCTCCTCTTCATCAACTAGCTCGAGTTCGCCTGAGATCTCCTCCAGGTCTTCCTTCTCCTTCTGCGCTGTTGTTAGACCGAGTGCAGACCGAATGCGGCGGTTTGAATCATACAATCTTTGCCCTCAGCTCCTCTTCCAGAAGCTCTTCTTTCTGATGCAGAGAACTGAATTTGTTGATCTTCTCTTGATCCTCGCGGCGCACCTCTAGGTCCTCACTTTGCGCTGAGGCCTCTTCATCTTTCGTGAGCTGCCACCTTTAGCGCCAAATCGGAGAACACGATGCAAAAATTGATGGCACTCACCATACGGCGCTGCATGATGTAAGCAAGCGATTATGAGTGCTGTCTGGGTGATGAAATCGAAATGAAGTTGAGTTGAGTAAGCAAGAGAAGTGAGAGACGTTGGTGGCTATGCTCCGGCGTTACTCGTGCCTCCGGGTGTGAGAATGCCAAGACCGTCGCGAGGCAGGCGCGAGCCGGTGTTGAGTGGGCTTTCAGGAATATGCGTCAAAACATCATCTCAGTTCTTCAAACTACACAAAATCGCCATATATTGTAATACGGTTGTAGTTCCTTAAACACCCGTGCCAGCTTCGCACAGCTAAATCTAGTCGACTGTAACCTAAACGCTATACCCTACATAACCCCATCCCTCCCCAAATCCCCCTCCACCCTCTCAAACCGCGCCCCACCCTCCTCCCTCTTCTCCACCAACTCACAACTAGCCTGACTATTCTGCGCATCACTAAGCGCCCTCACAACATCACTCTCCGCCTTATCCCTCACCAACTTCCTCAACGCCTGTATCAAAAACCCGCTAAAAACATCCACACTCCACTCATCAGGCACAATAGCCAACACATCAGCTACATCAAGCCAGCCCCCAAACCGCTCTAGGAGTTCAGAGGTGCGCTCCACCCTCTGCGAAAGATCTTCTATCTGGAGAAATTCTCTGAGGAGGTGGCCAAACATGCGTGATTGTTCTGACCGTGTGGGGATCTGGCTGTGAGACACGGGTGGTGCGCCAGGGGTGGCGCGGCGGTGGATAGAGGCGTAGCCGTACAGGCAGTAGCTTATTGCTGTGTTGTAATCGCCCAAGCCGTGCGTAAGCAATTTCAGCGCTTCTTCGTGGCGCTCTTGCCGGCCGTTTAGGATGATCATTTCGGAGACTAGTTCTTGGCTGTAGGGTTGTAGACGGGAGAGGACGGTGTGAACGTCGTAGGAGGAGGTCTCGCTGAGGAGCTGGAGGAGGCGGATGCGGGCGTGCCACCATTCTGCATCGAGCGCGTTGTCGGTTATGAAGGAGAAGTAGGTTGGTTTCGGGGGTTCGAGGATGCGGTAGGTTTCGTAGCTTTGGGAGAGGGTGGCGCGAGAGGAGGGGGTGCTTTCGAGCTCGGTGATTACGGTGGAGAGGTAGAATGCTATGAGTTCGTTTACGTACTCGGGGTGCTGGGGCTGGTGTTAGTAGAGCGAGTAGATATGTGCTGAGGGGCATACCTTTTTCTGGCCAAAGACAAGATACTCTAGGTACTCTTTGACAGCGCCTGGCGCCTTGTCTCTTAGCAAAGCGACAGCTCGAGTAGGGTCGAATTTGACTCTACTCTGATCGTCCGCAAAGACCTGCACGCCCAGCTTTGGATTCCTATTCGCTAGCCATGCGCCGTATTCTTCTACCAGAGCTTGATCGCGAATCTTTCGTAGATAGTCGCGCACCTTATGCTCGCCATCTACAAGTTCGCCTCCCTTGTCTTCCTCACCCTCCAGAATCCGTTTCCAGGTCGCCAGCACATGTGACGCCTTGACGGAAGCCTTGCAGTTGCCTTGGTACAAACGACTGAGCAGGAAGAGACGCTTGAACTGTTCTAACAGCTCAACAGCGCGATCGAAGCACTCTACTTCCTTATCGACCAGTTCGTACAGTTCTGCTCGATGGGCACCAGGGCTGGAAGTGCCCTTTGGACTTCCTTGGTCTAGAAGGAGGAGGATGTGGAGCAATGCTGCATCGACAGTTTTGAACACGGTTGGATCGTTTGTTACACTTGCCATCCCTTTCCGCTTCTTCCAAAATTGAAGGTACCGCTTTACGAAATGCAACAGATTGTCACCAAAGGGACCATTGACATTCGTTGGCATGGTGGAGAGATCGTTTTGTTGCAAGAAGTGCTCTACCAGCGTCGTGATGCCGCCATAGATTTGTATGCCGTCTGAGCCCTGAACCACTTCTTGATTGAGGATCGGCATGAGGCTCAAGACAACTCGCGGATCTATTTCACCTTCAATGAGCGCTTGTTCGGTGATACGCTTCTCATTTTCGAATATGATGATGTTCGTCTTGGTACGTAGAACCACGTCCATAAAGAGCATAAGCGAGGCTTTTTGACGAATGTATATGAGACTAAGGTATTCAGACTCGTTGCGCGGCTCTTGTCCGCGGATATCGCCTAGGATGGTTTCTATGACTCTTCTGTCAGGCTGGATGCGTGTCGCATCTCCAATGAGCGCATACTGGGCCGCTTCGATTCGAGAATCCAATCGGGTCACCAAAGGGTTTCGTACTGTCCACCATATCTGGTCTCCGGCCCAGACGACAGTCTGTGACTGTAACTTGGACAGGCGCTCCGCAAACTCACGGTCCGCATTTGCTTGGCGCTTCTCGACTTC